CCACATTATCACACCCCACCTCTAATGACAAAACGTCCTCTGCCTCGCTCAACCTTTTGTTCTCTCTCAAAAAGTTTCGAGCTGGATACTTATCTTCTTTCTTTCCTTTTTAGGTGAGAGGAGAGATCAAGTAATGGACAAGAACAAACATCTTCCGAAGGTCTTTGAGTACGACTGCATATCGTCATGTTCTAGGATTGCTTCTTCTTTGGTCGTAATTTACCATTCGGGACATTTTACTATTTCAACTCTTCTAGCTAAATATCAAGATTTCAGAGATACTTGTTAGATAGACAAGATACTTGAAAGGATGGTGCAAGAGTTTCTCATGATTACTTTCTCCTCTTCGTTTGACTGGGTTTACATTGGTCTATACCTCTTTTTCTTTCTTCTTTTTCGTTGCAACAGTGACACAGCGATATGGAAATTGAAAAGGGATTGAACAACATGCACCAAAAAGTGAAAACCAAGTTTTTCTATTTCTCCGGTCGGATGCTGTTGCCTCTACCTTTCCGACCCTCGATCTATATTCTTTCTCTCTTTTCTCGGCCATAGGACACAATAATATTCGTAAAGATGACATAAAAAGAAGATCTTGTACATGATTGGTATCAATGTTCATATAGATACAACAGAGCAACTCTATATGGTGCATATTCTAAGCGAAGAACAAAAATGTTCTCATAATCATTCATCGCGAACCCAGCCAATAGCCTGGCCAACCTTTACGTACTGTCCAGGCTTGATATTCCACTTCCAACCACCTTTTCTGTCTTCTGATGTGCCAGAAGTCTCACCCCATCCTTCGTCAAAGGAAGGTCTTCTACCTTTGGGAGCCTCAAAGACCAGCACAATGGTACTGCCCAATTGGAAACCACCCATTTCCTCACCACGCTTTACGGGGTGGCCGTGCAAGAGAGGAGAAGCATTGGCATAAGTGGCTTCTGCGAATCCAGAGTATGGCTGGTTGTTTGCTGCTGCGGCGGCTGCTGCACGATCGGCGGCGGTATCCGTGGTCAGCGAGTTTGTGCGTAGTTCCTTGTCGAAGTTGATCTTGATGGAGCCGACGTTAGTGGCGCCGACGGGAGTGTAGGAAAAGAAGCCGTAGCGCCAGCGGCCGAGAAGGACAACGCGTTCGTTCAAAGTGAAGAGACCGGGTAGGGTGCGTTGAAGGTAGGGGGATACAGAGTAGAGTTCACCAGCAAAGTGACGGCGGGACTCGACAACCCAGGAGGCAGGAGAGTGGAAACGGTGGTAGTCTCCAGGAGCAAGGTAGATGACTGCGTAGTAAAGGGCTGTGGGTCTCGCAGCGGTCGAGACGGGTTGCCACCAGCTGTCTTGTGCGCCGCCGCCGTCGCCTAGAGCGAGCGTGTCGCGGACTTCTTGTTCGGAACTAGCTCTTGCAGGTGTGGATTGATCCTCAGCGGCAGTCTTGGGAGTGTCTTTGCTTTCGGGACCGGAGAATAGGTTTGGTAGGGTGTAGGAGATGCCATTCACCTGGGCAAATTCCTCATCTGCGCGAATGATCTCTTGGTCTGCCGACTTGGAGCGATCTTTGCTGGGTTGTGGGTTCGGAGTAGCGCGAGTGGGCTTTTGCGAGCCAAGGAGAGCGTCGAGAGAGTAGGTGACGCCTTTCACTTGTTCGACCTCGCCGTTATCGATGGTACCGAACTGGATGACTTTGCCGTCTGCAGGGCTAAGGAGAGCATTGGGGTTGGGATCCAGAGGACGGACGCCAGGCTTGAGTGTGCGGTAGAAGAAAGAGGCTAGGTTGGGAAAGACGTGGAGATCGGGCTCATTGATCTCGTCAAAGTTGACGCCAAAGATCCAACCGTACAGCTTGAAGCCTGGCACGCGGAGGTAGTATGGGATCTCGAGCTCGTTGAAGCGGCCCCAGAGACGAGACATGGCCTTGAGCGGCAGAGTAGACATGATCTGGACCTGCCAGGGGCCCGAGGGCCTTATGCGCTGCCTCTTGGGGACGCTTCCTCCATCTTCGAGTTCGGCCTGCTGGCGAGCCTTCTCTTCTTCGGATTGACGAGCTTGAGTACGGTAGAACTGGAAAGCTCCTAGGAAGGCGACACCGAGACCGATGGGAATGGGCTTCCAGACGACTTTTGTATCGCGAAGGGCATTTCGAAGGCGTGTACCGAAGGGAGCGTGCGAGGGGCGGGAGGATGAGAATTGTCGGGAGGGGCGGTGTCTCAGTCGTTGGGAAGCTCTTAGTAGAGAGGTATGAGGGTTGGCTAAGGCTCTATGCCGTAGCACTTGGGTGGACGACATGTTGGGCGATGTATCAGGAAGCTACGAGGAAAATTGAGTGACATCAGGGAAGGACCCCCGACCCCAGGAATCGGATCCTTCCCGAATTGACGTATTGAAGCCAACCATGGGTACGTAGGGCTGAACGGCCAGCTTGACACACTTTCACATGCTTTCTCTTCTCACTCTACATCCGCCCAGTCTCGCACTCTCGCACTCTCGCAGTCTTGCTGTCAATCACGACAAGATGGCGCAATCTACGCGCACCTTGTCGCTCCGCATCCTCTCGCCAGCCGTCGAGCTGGGCCAGGGCCTCGACATGGCTGACATGCCAATCGACACCACCATAGGCGCATTGAAGTCAAAGTTGACCGACATGCTGCCCACAAACCCTACGCCTGATCGCATGAGACTCATCCACTATGGCCGCCTGCTGGCCAACGACGACGAGACACTGGCACACCTATTCGGAGAAGCCGCCATTACCCAAACCACGCCCTTCACATTACATCTCGTCGTCCGCGCTCCTCCCACTCCAATGGAGACGGCAGCTACCCGACAACCGCTCTTTGCAAACTGGGCTCCTCAGAATGCCCAACCAGGCCCCGCACAACAACAGCCAAATGTCCTTCCACCAGGCGCTGCGAACCATCCCTTGATGCGACCAGGTGCTGCCTTCGTCTCGCCGTCCCAAGGTGCTACTGCCACTCCACCGCATCCTGCCGCTCCTACACCGACCATACAACACAGCCACGCACCTTCGCCCAATCCGCTGCATCAGCTCATGGAGCGCCAACAACAACAGCTTAGACAGCTCCACGACCACCGTCCTCAATTTCCTCTACCCGCCATGCCGAGACAAACTCCTCCTCAGAGTGCTCCACATACTCCACCACCCTTCGCTCACCACCATGCCCATCCACACATCCACCAACATCTCCATCACCCAAATATTGCCCATGTCCACCAGCAACCGCCCCACCCGCAGCACCCACAACACCCTCAACACCCACTCCACCAACAACCACACCAGCGTACCGCTACCATAACAATCAACCAAAGCACAATCGCTGTACCTATGCCTCTTGGTCCCCGTGCCATGCCCATGGGTCAGATGCCCCTACCTGGCTTCCCACCAATGCACAACATGTTTCATCAAGCTGCTCAACCGCAAATGCAGCAATTCAATCCGGCTTCGCCCACCGTCTACCTGCTCTCATCACCAACCGGCCCACAAGCTCTGCTATTTTCTCCACAAGGCACATATACAGCAAGCTTACCACACACTCCTTTCCTTGGTTTACCCAACATGCCCGGCATACTCAATCCGCTCTCGGCCCATACACGACCTCAGACACCTGCTGCTCAAGCGGCGGCAGCGGCGGCGGCGCCACCAGCAGACGTCCAACAACGTCCTGTTGTCATTGACCCTCAACAACCACCGGAACAGATTGCGCAACAGATCGTCCAGCAAATGAACCAGGGAGGTGCAGAAAACCAAGAATTTAATGCTCTCGCACCATGGCAACCGCTCTTGGCTCAGGGCTGGATGTTACTACGTCTCTTGTTCTTCGCATGGATCTTACTGGGCACAGGTCAAGGATGGCGAAGACCATTGGCTCTTCTCGCCATTGGCATTGTCTTCTGGGCTGTTAATGCTGGCGGCATTGGCAACACAGTCAGAGATGCAGTTCGATCATGGTGGGAAGCAGTTGTCGGATTACCTGGACAACAACAGCAACAAGACCACGGTGTAGTCAGACAAGCTCTGCGACCCGCCGAACGCCTCCTCGCTCTGCTTATTGCATCATTATGGCCTGGAGTCGGCGAACGTACCGTTACTGCCAGGAGAGAAGCAGAAGAAAGACAAAGACGTGAAGAAGGAGAGCGACAGGCAGCAGAAGCAGAGCGCCAGAGACAGCTCGAAGCCGAGCAATCTGCCACTCAAGCAGAGACTACGAGTGCAGGAGAAAGCGACCCAGTCACCACGATTGAAGGACCATCTACTACCACAGCGACGGCCACTGGTAACGATGTGTCTGACGGAAACCAAGAGATCAGGGAGAGGAAGACGACGACACAGGATCAAAGCGCCGAAGAGCAGGCTAGCTCATCAGAACCTGCCTTGTCGCGTGAAGAGCAGAGAGCTCAGCAAGTCAGCAATCTCACCGCAGACTGGTGAAAAGTGAATCATCGCAATGTTTTTTCTTCTTTCAAAGGGTGCGGAATAAGTCACTTTCTCTCTTATGCATGTAGCGTGGTATAACAATCAGCCAGCGAGGGTTTCTGTTTTCTTTTGGATGCATAAAATTCAAGCATCGTCTTTTTTGACATTGGTGAGACAAGAGTCCTCGTTATACCATACTTTTTCTTCCTTCCGATCAAACCGAGCAACTACTCTTTCTGTGATATACTAGCAAAAACCCGAACCCCATATGATGCAAATAAATATGTCCAAAGCAAAAATGCAGAAAAGATGCCAAACAGCCATGCGACCCACCGCACTAGCACCCATACCGAGCAAGAAGCATAAAAGCAAAAGAAAGACGCCAGGCCAGCCCCAAAGCAAAAGCAAGCAAGCAAGCACCCGCTCAAGGAATCCAATCTCTAACCACTAATCTTAGCAAACACAAAGTCAATCCTCGACTTCTCCGCCGTGACCAACGTCCTCAAAATCTCATCTTGGACTGCATCCTCCGCCTTCTCTTTAACCGCCACGATACCATCTTCTTCTTCACCGTCAACTTCGCCATTGCCTGCTGCAATTTCTTGGCGGAGTTTTACAGCATCGAGATGCGAGAATTGCATTAGTGATGCCATGGCTATTTTGTCGTCTTTACCACTGCTGCTGCCTTTCTTTTTGGGAGAGAGCCGTTCGTGGAGGAGAGAGTGGTGTTGGCGACGCAGGCGTTCTTGGGTTTCTGGGTCGATTTGAGAGGAGCGGAGGAAGGAGGGTAGAGCGGGGACTTCCTCTTCATCTTCTGCCTCGTCACCTTCCTCATCTTCTGCTCCTGAAGCTGAGGCGGTGGTTGGCGATGAAGACGAGCCAGAGATGGGGATAGAGCCATCACATGCGCAATCGCAGCCAAGAAGATCGTGAGTCTGGCACCCCTCACGTGAGTCCAGCGTGAACAGATCTCTTAATTCTTCGGGCGTGAAACTCGAGGCGTTTGCCTTGTTATCCACGATCGAATCAGCTAATCCTTGTTTCGTGAGCTGTCGTTGGAAGATCTTCTCCTCGAGTGCTCCCTTGGTCAAGAAGCGGTAGATGTGAACTGGATGTTTTTGACCATCACGGTGCACACGACCCATGGCTTGGAGGTCTGTCGCTGGGTTCCAGTCAATGTCAAAGAGGACAAGGCGACTGGCGCCGATAAGATTCAGGCCAACACCTCCGGCCTTCGCAGAAAGTAGGAAAACGAAACAGTTTTTGGCTGAAGTACGGTTAAACTTATCGACCAGTCCTTGACGCTGGTTTGCAGGGGTCGAGCCATCGAGGCGAAGGTAGGGATACTCAAGAGAAGTCAGCAATTTGCCAATCATGTCCAGAGTAGCCGTGTAGTTGGAGACCACCACGACCTTCTCTTGCGTCATCGTATGAACGCAGTGAAGAAGGTCATCCAAAACTCCTAGCTTGCTACTACCGCCTGCAGCCTTTAGGTCTGATGCAGGGACTTTGGCTAGCAACGAATTGACTGTTCCCTCTTCACCTTCTGACGGGTTCTTGAGTAGCGAGGGACTGTTGCAGAGCTTCTTCAAGATGTTGATCATCTGGAAAGCTGCTTCGTTACTTTTGAGTACCTGATTTAAGACCCCAGTACTAACGACGGCCTCGTACACATCCTTCTGCACTCGAGTTGGACGGCAGTACACCACGTACTCGGTCTTTGGAGGTAAGTATTTCGACAAGATCTCTGCAGTTCGTCGAAGAATGAATTGACCAGTAATCGATGCAAGCTCTTCACTGCAAGCCTGACCCTTTTCAATGTCCTTGGCGGTTGCACCTGGCGTTCTGCTTTTGAGGATGGGAATCTCGTACTGTTTCTTGAAGGACGAATATGTCTTCAGCAATCCAGGATTCACAAAATCGACCATGGTGAAGAATTCGCTGAGATCGTTCTGGATGGGTGTACCAGACAGGATGATTCTTCTCTCAGTATTCAAAGATTTGATTGCCGCGGCTGACTTGTTGTTGGCTGTCTTGAGCCTATGACCTTCGTCGGCGATGACGATGTCTACGCCGAGCCCCTGCTGCAGTTCTTCTTGTACGTTGCGAAGCTTCTCGTACCCGATGATCAGAATGTTGTAACTTTTGCCCTTGGTGAAATCACTGAGCCTGGTTTTGTTGTTCTCAGCGACCATGACGCCCACTTTCTCATTACCCAACCATTTCTTAAACTCTTTGCGCCAGTTGTTGATGAGCGTGACGGGACACACGATCAAAGCTTTTTTGATCACAGGACCATCTTCGTAGATTGGATTTTGCTTGAGCAGAGTCCAGATCAAAGCAATGGTTTGTAAAGTCTTTCCCAGACCCATCTCATCTGCCAAGATGGCACCCTCGCCGACGAAAGGTCGCATACCCATGACGCACTCGTATAAGAACGCTACGCCAGCACGCTGATGTTCTCTTAGATGCTTCGTCAGATTTGGATCAACGACCACATCAACAACGTGCTTTCCGTCTGGTGCATGCTTCGGTCTTTTCATCACAAGAGCATTGGGATCGTTAGGATCATGACGAGGAAGACAAACAGTCTTTCCATCTGACCTTGAACGCGAGAGAGGGACACCAGTCTTGTCGATCATTGGACTTTTGAATGCGGCAGTAGGCTTGGTGAGCATACTGACAGGCCGGGTCGGTGCTTCAGCCTTCGGAGCGGAATTGAAAGCAGCAGCAGCCTTGCCGAGCATACTGACTGGCTTTGTCTGCGCCTGGACAGGCTTAAGTGGTGTCCGGGCAAGAGGCACAGATGGTCGTGTAACAGTGCTGGTTTTGATAATAGTTGGCTTTGGTGGTTTCTTCTGAGGCAACATTGACCTGGCTTCTTCTCTAGAGATGCGCGAGTCTATCTCGATTTCCTTGCCACTCATGCTGAGTGTAGATCCTGGGAGTAATGGCGTTTTGCATACGATCCTGCCAATATCCTTTCCATCCGAATCTTTAAGGTTGGCATATCCTTGCGAAACGATAAGGATGCCGTCTCCATCCCAAGTTTTGTTCTTTTTGTTGGTTATCTTGCGCCAGAGGACCGAGAATCTGGCATCGGCAGGGTCATCAGATGGCCTTTCTGGCGACTCACAGACAGTATCTGAAGAGTTTCCATCGTGTTCTGGCTGCTGTGGCGATACCTTCAATCGTTTTGCGGGTCGATGCGATGTAGATTCCTGAGATTGTTGTGGAGTCGACCCAGGTGGCCTTGTGAGCAACGGTGATTTGAACGGCCTGTACATTGTGTTCTCATTCGGATTCTAATGTTCAGCAATTGACCAGGTTCGCCACTGCTAGCCTCAAAAGCCCACGAAAGTTGAAACTTGTGGAGGAAGACGCGTTGTTGACGCGCGACCGTTGCCTGACGACATCATTGATTGCTCTTTCCCAATTTGTGCAACCAAATCTTGACTCGCTGTTGCACGAGCATGAGGACGCTTCATGCAGGGCAGCAATCTTCAAATATTCTTTGTCAGAGTCTTTTGCAAAATTCCGTCCGTCGGCGATTTTGACTGAACAAAGTAATGAATATATTGTCCGATTGACAAGCCGTGGTAGATCGCTAATAAGCCTAACTTTCTGTTTACTCATCCACACACGCACGCCCTTGAGGGTCATTCGTCCATGCTCTCGCGACCGTCTCGAAGCAAAACTGTAACCATCCAAAGATTTTCTCAAGCCGAAAAAAATGCCCACTGTTGATGATGCCGCCGAAATATGAGTAGAGATGTACCATCCTTAGTCAATGTTTTGAAGCCAAATAACGCCATGCTAAAGTCAAAACTCGCTTTTCGCCATTGAAAAGCAAGCCTTGCGAACAACGCCCAGTGAATCCTTCCCAAACATCAAAATGGGTCGCTTCAGATCACCATTTGATCCGAGGCTAGTGCAGGAGAAAAAAAAGTTATTGCCGTAAATCGCGATGGGCAGATCATAATGCCGTCCGAGGACTAATAAGTTGAAACGTCTTGAAGAACAAATCCGGCTTTCCATCAAGCGATAGAATGTATGCGTGTGGTCGAAGGAGTTAAGGAGAGATCGTGTTAATCTTTCAATTGCGCGCGAGTGATAAATCGCGAATTGGCGCTTTATCTCGCAAGTGGCCTTCTTGCCGTCCACACATGGCTGTAGCAGGTCAGTAAAAAGCCGCCGAGTTGAAGATAGAATCCAGCGTTGCTCACATGTTTGCGTATGCATGAATCGAACGATTGCGGATCTCCCCTCGCACGCCGCCGAGAAAACCGTCAATCTCTTGCTTGCTCCAGCCAAACACACGGGAGAAAGGGCCTAGACTCAAGGCTTCAAGGCCTTCACAGAGATCCAGCGCAGTTTGGTGGAAGTTGCCGATGTTGAAAGCAGTGGGGTCAGTCGACCATGCCCGGTATGGTGCTTTGATGACTCGTTCTGAGATGTCGGTAAACCCGGCTTGCGACAGTGCTTGCCGAGTGTTGTGCGAATAGCGGATGGTCTTCGGTGTCTGGTCCGTAGCCTGTACCAGGTAATTATACCATTGCCTGAGATATGAATCACGAGGCAGTGTACCATCGTCACAACGAGGCTCGAAATCTATTTCGAGTTGCTCAATACATCCAAAACCAGGTCGGAGGTGCCTAGCTTCGTCAGCTTAGTAGATATATCGGTCTCCAAGAGACTCACGAGAAAACTTTGGCGTAAAGATTCGACCAGCTAGAAACACTGCCACACAACATCTGCATGTGAATCAGGTCCCAAGAATCTTGGCCTAGACTCCAGTAAGGAGTTTCGAAGTTGAAGGGTATCTGAAACCGAACATTGGGTGGGATCTGAGCAGGTTGAAGATTGGCAAGATCTAGTCCGAGGACCTGTCAGGAATTGGTCAGTAATCAGGCTCGACACTCTGGTCATAAAATCATTACCTCTCCCTCTGGGTATTGCCTATTGAAAAGCGTATCAGCTCGAATTCATCACAATGCGTTAACGATATAGACCTACTCGCCCATATCAATCGCCCAGAAGCCAGTTCCGCAGCCGAGATCCATGATTCGAGGACGATGAGCGACCTCTGGGATCAACCTCGCCGAGTGCAGGCTCAACCCAGCTTTGTCGTAGAACAGGTTGTGGTAGACATCCATGCGATGGCGTTCCTCCTTAAATCGAATGTCAGCATGTGCGAATGACATGCCAATGCGTGGACAGGCAGAAGCCTAAGAGAGCGGCTCACCTCGTCATGCGGGTACATGTATAGACCCTTCTGCCATGCATGGTACCAGCGCCCATTCTCTTCATACCATTCTTGCTGCATTGGTGCTCTTACAGAGACGGACCTGTGGAATAAAGGGTAAGAAACTGCGAGGCCGTTGGATGGAAAGGCGACGGAATGATGAGTTGACGGGAATGCGTTGAAGCTAGAGGAGAGTGGGAATTGTTACGCACAGCACTTCTTGAGGGGCAACTAGAGATGCGACTGCTATTCTAGACATTATCAGGAAAAGCCACAGCACATGATATCCAATGATAGCGGAGACGGCGCGCGGGCGGCTATAAGCAAGTGCAATCTGAAAAAGAGGCCAAGAGGAGAAGAGTGACGCGATTCGGGGTGTGGACAGGCGACGATTTAGTTAGCAGCAGCTTAAAAAGCAGCGACAGCAGGCAGTGGCAGTAGTCGCAGCAGTAGTAACGTCGACAAGGCTCGGGGAGCGTGGACGGCGGGGCGGGGCAGAGGCACTTTAAGGACACACGCAGTCGATTTTCCCAGAGAGACGGGTGCAGAGAAGTCATCAGCAGCGGCAAGCTGCGCAAGTCTCGGATGGCTCCCGGGCTAGTGCTAGCAATCTGCTTTGTGGGAAAGGGCAAGAGAACGCAACTACCTAACAGAAACGAGATCAAAGGGCGCCAGGGTTAGGTGCAGGCTGGAGCCGTGGATCGCAAGGTTCTACAGCGCAAGCTCGTGCATGCCATCGGGGCGGATGGCATCCCCTTGGGCTCGCCAGTTCTTGCGGTGTATCACCCCAAAGCATTATTTCCCAATCTCTAGATGCTTTACCAAATCACCAGCTGCACATGTCCCCACAGCAGACGGGGGTTTCAAGTTGGGCCGGAAGCTCAGGCTCGGCACGACACCGTCTCACCTCTGGCGGCTGACTGGCTGACCACGCCGTCGGAGTCGATTTATTAGGACAGAGGCCAATGAGCTAGGGGACGTGGCAGGTACACCGTTTCTCTGTGCACTGCATCAAGCCCAGACCTACGGATCACCCTCTCGAATGGGCGAGTAGATACAAGCCCTGGTGCAGCCCGAGTTTCGCATTTCCTTCCTTTTGGACCGTTGGTCTTTTCCAGCTTCTGCTCAAGTTCCACTACAGCTTCACTCGCGCTTACTTGCCTCTCCGTTGCGTGTGCCACTGGGCCACAGCAACGAAACACTGCAGCATCGACTCCTCGAGTTAATATCGCGAAAGTGTCGTTATCTTGGATCCCGGTCCCAAGATCCTTGCTTGCCGCTAACAGCCCGCTGTCCCAAGAGGCCGGCGCTGTGAACCACCGCAAACCTTCCATTCGGTCGGTTTTCTTCAGCGTAGCCTGCGTAGCCGACTGATACAATATACACACAAGTCTGCCCTTCCTGCTTCACTTAGAAAGAGCTAGAAATTTGCTAGACTCGCACTCAGTACGAGCTTCGGCCACCACGGCTCTTGTCCCTTGACGAACTTGACTCTATATGCGAGGAGCACACCATCAACAGCACATTGGGTCAGCCGACTCCGTGGGCTTGCGAGTGCTGACATCACAGACTCCTGTCATGGAATCAAGCTGGAAATTGCAGAACTGGAACGAGCGACACCTGCTTGCGCCCTGCCATCTCAAGGCATGTCTTATAATATACAATCACAGACGAGCCACCATGCGAGAGTTGGAATGACAAGAAAATCACTTCCATTCAGAGGTGCGCCGCCGGCAGGGGGTTCGTGCAAACGGCTGGGCCGAATCGCCGGTTCCTGCCGCCGCTATTCCTGCAGTCGTGGCCGACAAGGTTGCGATGGTAAGAACAAAGACTGGGCCAGCGCAGGTTACGAGGCATGATAAGCGTGATGTGATGTGCTCTAAAGATGATTCAGACAGTGTTCACTCTCAGAAATCACTTGATGCACTAATGCCCCTGAACGACCCAACCTCGACCAGGACCTGGATTTCGTGCATTCGTGGATTCAGACACACGCAACACAATTCAAAAGACTCCGATCGCACTTAGCCTCTTGCAAGCCGGTCAATAAGAGCTGTGTACATTATTGCGAATTACCCACTTCCCATATTGGCGAGATCTCTTGACCGAGCACCCTGTCTTCGTCCTGTGCGGAAGTCTCACGTCTGGGCCTTCTTCCTCGTCTGTAAATACAAGTACATTTGTACTGGACTCATCCTTTCTAGGCTTTGGCTCTCACGTCCTTCTCAAAGACGTTACTTGTCACAAACGTGATAAGCGTCTTTGCAGCTGTGTGATAAATCCTAGCATACGGGCAGAAGATGGCCATGTATGCTTGTATGAGCATATGGCCGATGCTTGTGCAAGATCGACTGGTGCTCCATTCCTTCGGATACCGTCCCACTGTCAGCGTCACCCAATCACACGACTTTCGGTCTACCATACAGTCAGGCCGAACCCGATGGACCATAGCGCCTCCGAACTTTTCGCGGCGCGCCACGGGACGGCGGCCCTCTCGTTCGTGTCGTCTTGGCAGCCACACTCTATCGAGTGAATGGGGATTGACAGGGATGGACGAGCTGACTCAAGTGCAACCCGAACTGCTGGATGTTGGATTTTCTGATCCGAATGCTCTGCTTGTGCTCACATCCTCGACTGCTGCCAGTACCTGCGAACAAATGAAATTGAAGGACTATTCAAAACTGCCAACGACATGGCCACAACGTGGCGTTATGCATCACATCGGTGAACAAGCGCGATGAATGCACGCTTCTGGAACAGCCCTGGACACTGTACGACTCTCGCTACCAACTACATAAGGGGTGGACATCCCGAGCTTCGTCTGACCCCAAGATTTGCTACCGTCCATGCACGCGCATATTGCGTCTCCTCAAAAGGCATTCAGAGGCGCAAGATGAGATAAATCCACGTCCAGCGGAACGAGCCCCTCTTTTAATCATTCTCACACGTGGCCTTGTCAGTGAGAGCACGGTGAGGGACAGAGCTAAGCAATTCACCTACCCGCACGCAAGCTGCCGCTGTCAAGAGTGTTTGCTTGAACCTGCGTTGAGGTTTTGACGTATTCCGGATCAGGCTCTACCCGGTGCCCATTCGTCGCTAACCATGTAGACGAACGACTCTGCACGGCATTCCGCAACCCAAATTGCGTCTACGTGTCTTATCAGAGTCAATACTAAGCAATATGCAAGCCACGAATACCTCGATGCTGTACACTACAGTAATCTACAAGCTATTTGCAGTATATTGGAGAGAGTCGCAGTCTGCGACACGCTTCTTGAAACAGAATACTCAACGACATCCTGGTCGGTATTCCGCTTGTGGTATAACCCGGTTTTGTAACTATGCTACGCTCAATGAAGACATCATACCGTATCACGGAATGATTGCGAAAATCGATCAAGGGCAGAATGCTTGACGAGCAGCATACCGTGCTCAGCCATCGGGAAGTCCGAGTCGACGCGAATTCCTTCCACATTCCAACATCCTTCTTACCGCAGGTCAAGATCCATATGTGGCCAGTGCTGATGAACTGCGTACCAATGTAACGTTGGGGTCCTCTCATTGTGACAGTGACAGCTACTCAATCTTCCATCTCACGTGGATGTTCGTGAGGTTTGAGCACGAGCAGGTCCGTGATGCTGCACGGTATCGTCTTCCTCACAGATCACATAGATGTCTTGGAATTGCTGAGTTGACTAGAGCATCACAACCGTCCACGGCCTTTTGACCTGTGTTCATACGAACGCTAGTTGCAGTATTGCATTGTATCTCATGTCGGTATTCATTTCCGCTCCAGCACATACGCTTCCGAGTTTGCCTCTCGAATCTCATCAGACCATGCTCTGTGCAAGAACGATGCGCTGCGAAGCCAATGTCGAGCATTCCCATACACGCACGGTACAAAGCTCACCCGCTACGCGCGAAAGTCCTGCTTGAGACTACTCACAGGCAACTTCTGTTGAAGTACGCTCAGTCAAAAAGGCTGGAATCAGCCATGCACCACGTTTAAGGCATTGAAAGAATGCCGTTAAGCAAAAATCTCTTTGCAGGGATGAGCAAGCAAGTTCGGAAACTTTGAGTGTTGAGCATTGCGCTTCTCTACCACAGTCTGCTGTCGTGTCTTCGACCGGGTTCACTTGCTTTGTTGCTTGAACCTACAACTCCCAAGACATCGGATCTAGTGTGCGCTGACCACACATCTATGCTATGGCCTGCGCTCATATTGGTTCCTAGTGCTTCGAACTGGCTGTTGCGTTCGTGTTGGACTTTTCTGCTCTGGACTATGCATCTTACACGTTTACTCGCCCATCTCTGCTTCCTGATCAATGCAGTCTTGACATGCAGCCCGTTCTCTCAATAACTCAGGTTGATCCCTCCAAATAACAGTCCCTATGAGCATGCTTCAAGAAGCTGCAGCTGCAGCCGCTGTTACTAAACTCTGTCATCACTTAGGAAACCGTGATCGATGCAATCAGAAAAGGTCCAGACGGATGGCCCCACGCCCCACTTACGAGATTCCTTCTGTGCCATCATCCATGTCAACGATGTCTTTCTGGTAAGCAATTCTTCTACTTGCGGGTAACCAAAGACCACCCGAGCGGCATCGGGGATTTATGATCTGTTATCAATCACCAGTTGCGCGCGTGTTCTATGACGAACGTCTTACTCGGGTCAATTTGTCCAACCAATTTGTCGGAAAATCACCTCGTCTATATTAATGAGGTTGTTATAGCCGTTGGCTTCGCGCTCTTCAATCCGAAACAGCTCGGTGAACTGCCGATCAATCTCATTCTCACCCGCTCGCTGTAGACTCTCCATCTACGAGTCAACTCATGTTGACGAGCAATTCACCAGACCACAATGCGATGTTTTCCTTCGGCGCTACCAAGATACAAACCTCCTGTTACTCGCTTCCAGCGGATCGGGAACGAGGAACGAGATACGCCGCAATCTACAGCGCGCCTACACACCCATACAGGAAAGATACGTACTCGACAAGCACTAGCCATTTTCACAAAGAAGGTACCGACTCATGAAATAAATTAAATGCGAGCAGTCCCAAACACGGCAAGCGATCGTCCTCTCAAAGAGAAAAAGTAGAAAAACCTTGGAGTTTGGGATTTTTTATATTGGGGCTACCCAACAAAGGCTTCGTTGGTGCTTACAAAGACGGGAAGCAAGATCAGGCAACCTAACGATGGAGTTTATGAATCTTCTGCTTCGCGGAATGGGCGTCTGCTAATTATAGATCAAGATTGAAATTACAAGTCGGAATGGATGACGAAGCGACCCTGCTTTTGAATATCCTCTGACTGCATGCACAAATATCGTCGGCAAGGTTGTTCTTGGGTCACCGTTGCTCGATCATTGTTAGTCTTGATTAGACGACAACATCCATGTCGCTGGAGCTAAGGGCGGTTGTTACAACCACACCAACGGCAGCTGACTTTCAGACTCGCCAGGCATTTGTGCTGATTGCATCTCGGGATCTCAATGATCGTACCCTCCTTCTACTACAGATCATGCGACCAGCTGTCTCTACCACCAACAGTCCCACCTTTCGTCTAGAGCCAGGTTCGTTTCAATAGTCAGTTGTCGACAAGACTAGCAGGCACTATCCGCACCTTGTCTCTATACTTCTGAATGATCTTACCTTTAACAGGGACAAGCGTGTTAACGAGAACCCTTTTCGCTTCTTAAGAATGACAGTTACAACCTCAACAAGTCATAATCTGCATCTAGGAACTGCTACTATCTCTCCCGCTGCGACTTCCAAGTCTCATTATGCATTCCCATTTCGATGCTCCGAATCACAAGACGACCTCGTATTTCCTTTGTTGCTAGGCAGTTCTGCTCAGTTGGAGGATTCAACATCCTGTATAGCACTCTCTACCTTTCTTGACTCGTTTTCCAAACGTTGGCGAGCTGCATATGCACTTAGAGGATTGCATCTTCGGGCTGAAGAACAGATTGATAGGCACAAATGTCTTGTCAAGTGGTCTTGGCCCACAATAGAGGTCGTTTCGATCGATGCCACTAAGAAAGGAATATCGGCATGCAAAGCAATGGTAAATACGCACCTTGAAAAGGTATAAAATCGGTTCTTATCTTGTCTTTTTCCTTTTTTCCTTTTTTCTTTTCCGCCTTAAGCAAGATGTTAGAAGCCGGAGCATACCCTTCTACGCCGTAATAGGCGCTCTTTGTCCAACTTTTTTTCGGCGTCCATATTGTTAGATAGCGTTAGGAATCGATTAACTAAGTCAGGAAACCGGCCCTCAAGTTTAAGACATCGATCTAGTCTGTCACAAACAAGGTCACTTTTTCTCCTTTTTTTTTTCCCCCCAAAGTCCGTACAGTACAAGACCTTGTGTATTGTTTTCATACAGAGGTCAAAGTAATCTCGATAGAATACCAGAAAAAAAAAGTCTTAAGTGTGCTTTATGTCTTTCGAACAATGGTGCAAATATAAGAATGCTAGTTTCTTCTAGGTTATAGTAGTATAATACTTGTACTTTGTGGTCGTTAAGTGCAAGACGTTTATTTTTATAATTTACATTGCCCGGCATCCATAGAATCATTAAGCGTCTTAGTAAGAGCTAATTGCATTAGATAAAGTTATAGCATGGTTAAATCATCCGCACGCCCTCCTCTAATTAGAGATCTTAAACCACAGCTATATAGCATTATAAAGTACGAGAGAGGTAACCCACGACATAACAAACTCTAACCCCGAGGATCTGGATGTCATTAAGGCACATGGATAGTTGTATCACTATAGAATCGACACAACTTATATCGAGGAGATTTATAGAGGCTAGATGGGTATAGATTCTTCTTCGAGTCTTTAATTTGATGGAATAGAGCTTTGGGATTAATGGGAACCGGTTTTTGATCATTTTAGACAAGGAGGAACAAAGTTGTAAAAATGACCAGCAAAAAAAGCAATCATTACGTCAAATTTGCAAGAAAAGGGCAAGAAGCGTGGGAACCTTTTCTTTTCTTTTTCACAGTATATATATATTCAATGGCTCTAAGATTTTGATGAGTATCACCCATGTAATTCTTTTCCTATCATGCCTACCGCTCTCTTTTCTTTTCCTTTGCTTTGCTTTTTCTTACATCTTGTTTGATTCTGTCTATGGCATAAGAGTAAAACCCCATTAAGCCCAAGTCATATGCTACAAGAAGTCCAAATGTCTAATCTTGTTGGTGCCTTTTTCGCTTGGCATATATCTCTTGTTTGTGCCGCGCTTCCCTATCACATGTCCTGTTGTGCCAATGTTCTTTCTCCGAAGGGAAAGAAGGCGGGTGTTTTGCTTATTTGCTATACAGATTGAGCCATCTCATCTCAAAATACATACATCTGTGATCTTCCCTTGTTGTGACTCAAGCTAGTGTCTCCTGCCTTTGGTAGAGAGCAAGAAAAGAGTAGATACCCAGGCAGCCGAATAACTAATACACGTCACGTACAACAAGAAGCTAAGGAGCGGATTTGTCCGACTAGGTTCATACTATATTTGATTCTTGGAAATTTCGATCTTGTCATTTTTTGAAAGTGCTCATCTATAATTAAGAAAGAGATACGCGAGTTAGAGGAGTAAGAAAGTACTTTCCCACACTTCTACTTGGTGTACTCCTTCTGCAACAGCTTAGCGATAGTGCTGAGCTGGATGTTGCTCGTGCCCTCGTAGATGGCACCAATCTTGCTGTCTCTCCAGTACTTCTCTGCCAAACCCTCTCGGACGAAACCCATACCGCCCATCCACTCAACAGCCTGTCCAGACACCTTGCCCGCAACCTGGGAAGCGTAGAGTTTAGCCATGGCAGCATCCATGACGAAATCCTCGCCGGCTTCCTTCTTGCGAGCGGCATTGTAGACCAGAGCGCGTGCTGCACAGATCTCTGTCCATGCTTGAGCGAGTTGATGTTGCATACCCTGGAACTCTCCAACCAAGGTGCCGAATTGCTTGCGATCGTTCCAGACGTAGGAAGCTGCGTTGGAGAAAGCTCCCATGGCCAATCCAGTCATCTGAGCTGCAATACCAATTCTACCCTCGTTCAAAATACCAATTGCGTATTTATATCCCTCTCCCTCCTTACCCAGCAGGTTTCCTTTGGGGATTTCGACATCGTCAAAGTTGACGACGCAGGTGGAGGATGCTTTGATACCGAGTTTCTTTTCCTTCTTGGCGATGCTGAAACCGGGAGTGTCCTTGTCGACGATAAAGGCTGTGATGCCTTTGTAGCCCTTTGAGGGGTCGAGGTTGGCAAACACAATGAAGAAACCTGCCTCCATAGAGTTTGTGATCCACATCTTGGAGCCGTTGATGCGGTAGCCGTCGGCGGTCTTTTCGGCGCGGGTCTTGAGGGCGAAGGCATCGGAGCCCGAGACTGGTTCAGAGAGACAGAAGGAGCCTAAGTATAACACGTAAGCTTTTCAAGATTCAGAAACAAGGATGGTCGACGACTTACCGAGAGTGTTGGTAGCCAACTGAGGCAACCACTTGCGCTGACTCTCCTTGGTGCCGTACTTGAGCAGGGTAGTGTTGACCAGGGTATTATGCACATCAACCATAACACTAACACTAGGATCGACCTTGGCCAGCTCCTCGATACCAACAATAGCAGCCGTAAAGTTCATTCCGGCGCCTCCAAACTCTTCAGGGATTTCAATGCTCATGAGACCATTTTCGAAACATTGCTCAATAATGTCTTGATCCATCTTTTCGTTTTCGTCCATGCTGCGCACTTTGGGGAGAATGACATCGTTGGCGAATTTGGAGACGGACTCGGCCATCATGAGTTCGGTCTCGGACATGTGGGAGATGGGGGTAGGGATGGCGCCAGAGAGGTCGTGGGGTTCGCCGATTGTGGTTTGTCTCCTCGATTGGGAGGAAGACAGACTTCGCCAACTGGATTGTGTCAGTGTCTAGCATGAATGTTCTTTGTTGATATAGTCATACCATTGTCTCGAGACTACTCGCTGGCGGAGCGACGACTGGAGAGATGAAGGGCGAATGAAGGGCCGAACGGATCTTGCCACTGAAGCCATGGCGTATGTTGTGACAGAAAGAGTAGCAAAAGAGAAAAAGAAAAGGAGGCAAAGAAATCAAATCAGAAAAGATGTTTGTGTCTGTCGATGATGGTCATGTCGAGCTGCAGGGAGCAACCGAAAGCACCGAATCACATGCGGAGAAGCAGAACCGAGGCACGAGAGACGTCCGGGGTCTCCGCTCGACGAGTCGAGACGCCCTTTCGCCCTATCGTTCTCGGCTCGCACCGCGAGTCTATTTTCTATATCGTGAATCGAGGAACTCTTGCGGCTCCATATTCGTGTCTCTGTGACCAAAGTGATGTCGTATTGGTAAACTTCTGTTGTCATACAAAAGACAGACCGTTGCAACCACATCTTTGAATGAGAACCTTATCACATTATATAAACGTCTTTCTCCTTGGACCAGAATGCCCTGTAATCAGAGGCTTCAAAAGGCTTCCATCTTGCATTGACTTGCTAGGAAGACCATAGAAGCGTCAACTCTCTAACAACTCCTCTTCTTTGGTTTGTGCTATGTCGCATATGTCGCCGAGCATCTGAGAGACTAGCCGGGTGCAACATATACACTGTCTTTGAGATTGGAGTTTCATCTGCACATCTCGCAGAGCGGCTGACTGCCGTAAAGACATCTGGGAAGATTGCCTCTCCTCATCCCCTCAATTAGGTCTAAACTTGTTCCTCTTCATCTTCATAGCCTCCACCTTCTTCCTATCCTCCTCAAAGCCCTTGAGCAGTTCATTAGCCTTCTCCTTCCTCTTCTCACGCATCTGGAAGCGGTAAAAGTCTTCTTTGCCCTTTTGTTTCTCTTTTTGCTTTTCGGCTTTTTCTTGTGCTTCTTCTTGGCGTGCTGGTCCCATGCGTCCTCCGCGTGTTACCGTGATGAAGCCGTCTTCGTCGGGTTCGGCGCGTTGGCGCGCGAGCAGGCGGGCGCGGGTGGCTTCTTGTTCGGCAAAGGCGGTCATGTAGGCGTCTACTGAGGCTTGTAGAGCGGCGGTCGAGGGGAAGCGAAGAGCATGATGGCTCAAATATCCTAGACAAACAGTTAGCTCACATCCAAACTCAACGACCAGGCGAAGCAATGGAAAAACATACTCGCAGCACCCAACGCAGGCACCTTCTCCGTCTCAGCACCCCAGACAACCTCCTTGCCCGCCTTGACAACCTTCTTAACCTCCTTCAACGCCATCTCCGCCGCACTCGCGTCCACAAACACCACCACACAAGTATTCCCACTCCTGCCTACCCTTCGATCCCACAACTCCGGCAACTCGACCATTTTGCTCTCACCATCACCTCCTCTCTTCCTCTTCTTGCCGCTTTTACTCGTCACCGGCGCTGTGAGTTTCTTGCCCGTCCTCGTGCCTTCAAACTCTACTCTTTCTACTCTTGCGCCCGCGCCGTGTGTTGCAAAGAGCGAACGTAAATGTGTTTCCGTGGCGTCGATGGGTAGGTTTACGACAAACAGCTCGCGTGGTGTATTTTCAGTAGCCACTTTGGGGGCGTTGGGTCGTAGATAGAGATAGTGTTTTGTCGCTTGAGGAAAAGAGTCGGTAGGCGGGATAGACAGAGGTAGAACAGTATAGTCGTTGACGCTCGCCGGCACACGGCTGCTTGAGTTTTGTACGGGCGCCATTGGTTTCGTTGTGTTTTTGTGTGGGTTGATTGCGACAAAAGAGATGATGAGATGATAATTTTCTTGAAAGTCTCGGAGTTTGGCCAGCTTTGCGACGGAATTTCTCCGCAAAACGTAGGAACGCCCATGTCGCAGAGTCACCCTGACCGCTGTGTTTCGAGCAGATCCCACCTGCCTCTGTTTCTGCTTAAGCCAATCATTGACTCCCGCCCAGAAATAAATCATAGGAGAGCTGGCAAGGGCAAAAGTTCTGGTCATCATGTCTACAAAGAGATGTGCCTGTTTCTGCTGACGAACACAACGATTCTCATAGCTTGCAATCTTGTTCCATCTCACCAATTGAAAGGAACCATCGAATCGATTATTCCAATACAAATTTCGGACCAAAAAAGGTTGCCATTCGTTGATACAATGTCATATCCTCGCATTGCCAAAACCAAGAATGGCCCAACTAGATTAACCCTCTTCTCTGCCATCATCTCTCCTCTCCCTCTCCGCCGCATGCTCTATATCTCCTTTCTCTCTTCTTCTCTTACTTTCTCCTAACGCCTTCCGCCGTGTAATCGATTTGCAGATGCTCGTTGTTTGTGTAGGAGAGAAAAGAAAATGATGAACATCGCGGTCGGGATCTCGTGATAAAACTTTTCGCAGGTCATTGATAGGTCGTGAGAGCAAAGCGGCTCCAAGAAAATCGAGATGGTATAAAAAAGAAGCACAAAAGCCGGCTGTAAAAGATGCCGTGTATGTGTCGGAAAGGCGCTCACGAGCACGCTTGAACGAAAAATGGTTGACCAGAAGAGAAAAAAAAAAAAAAACGAAATGCGAGCACGGGCGATTATGCAAGCAATAAGACCGATCGTATCGGCACCATGTCCAAAGGTCTTCGTAAGGCACGGCGGATTTAGCCCATATCCACTCAAACAGAGACAGAGGCAGGAATGATGGTGGTAGCAGCATTGGGTGTCTGGACGGGAGCAGCAGCGACATCATCTGCAGCAGCAACAGGCGCAGACTCTCCGTTGACCTCGGTTTGCTGGTTGCATTCACGGGAAATGTGACCAGTCTCGCCGCATCGGTAGCAAGTCTTGCCGGCAGTGTTGAGAGGGCCACCGTTGGGAGCAGTGCACTCGCGAGAGATGTGGCCGAGCTTGCCGCAAGCATAACACTTCATGGCCTGAGCCTGGCAATCACGAGCGAAGTGGTTGGGACCACCGCACTTGTAGCAGGTAGCAGGACGAGGGCCACCAGAGAAACCACCACGGAAGCCACCACGAGGACCAGGAGCACCGCGACCAAGACCAGCAGCAGCACCGGGAGTAGGGCAAGTGCGCTGTAGAGAAGCATAATCAGTCAAGATAGATAAAAGGTGAGAGCGGAAAGTCACATACGGCAAGGTGGCCGGGCATGCCACAGGAGTAGCAGCGGCCGTTAGCACCACCGTTCAGACGGAGGGTAGGGCAGTCAGCCTGCACATGTCCGAGGCCCTGGCAGTGGTAACATTGTTTGGCTAAATGTATAGATCAGCATACAGATCAGAGCAGCAAATGATTGGCGTGGTGCACGACATACCCTCGGTGGTGCGAGGAAGGGGGCAGTTGTTCGACTCATGACCTGTTTAGAAAATGAGCATGCTGGAACAGGCTTTTGGAAACGAGTAGAAGTACCAGGCTGCTTGCAGTTGTAACACAAACGCTCAGAGGAAGAGCAGACCTCTGCGTAGTGGCCAACATTGCCGCACTTGTAGCAGGCACGACGGGAAAGAGACGACATGTTGAGTTCTGTGTTGGAAAGGCTGTTTTGCAGTCAGATTCTGTTGACCTGATTTGTACTTGAACGTGTATGGTAATGTTCTGTCTGGCCATTTGTTCCTTCTCATATAGTGAACTGTCGAGCTATTCCTCGAACAGTCCATCAAGCGGATGATTGGGCCATTCGTCTGATGCATATTCAACGAAGGTGTAGTGATCGTCATGCTGGACTCCAATTGATGCGTTGAGTCATGGCGGCCAACCAGTACAAGGAGATAGAGACAGGAGAGCGAACGAGGATGTTGAGACGACGGCTGAATGCATGTAGGACACAAGCAGCGAAACGACTAACCTGATGATGCGCGAGGTTGCTTGACCTGCTACAGCGTCAGCGTCTACAGCTCCCAAATGTTTGGTGTTTCAAGATTGACAGGTGCTCTTGTCTTACACTGCTGTTACTATTACTCCTCCTTCACTTCTTCTTCTCTTCCAATTCTCAAAGGAAGGGATGCACGGTCAGACAAGATACAAGCAATGCGACAGCAAGCTGAGACTCGCGAAAGTTGGTTGGGCGGTTGCGATTGCGGCGCTCTCGAGGCTCGAAAAGAAGGAAACGCCGAGGGCAGTGGACAGACCCACTCCCGAGTCGGCATCAGCTGCATGCACCTCTTTCCCGTTCGCCGGCTCTTCTTCTCAGACCTGCATAACACTGTCTCATCCAACAAGCCTCACAGGCTTCAACGAGAGAGCCTTCATGGTCACTGTCTAGACTTACAGTCAAGCAGTGACCAACAAGCTTCGACGACACAAGGCTTCATGCTCCATTTAGCTGCACCGTTGACAGCTTCAGAGGTAACTCGCATGTACCGAACCTGGTCCGTGCTCTCGTTCACTACAATCATCCAAACAGCTTGGATACAGAATATCTGGTGGCTGGGGGGCTTGTTGCATGTTCATTATCTTGTGCTGTTATTTTTTGTTTGTTACTCAGATCTCTTCATGATGTTCATGTGACTTCCACTTCCAAACGCCTCGTTGCGCCTTCATGCACACTATACCCCATCTACTGCTTCTCCTGCTCAATCACTGCAGGTGCCTTGATTGTGCGCTCGCTCAAGAATTCGAGACCTTCACCACCCTGTGATCCCATGTTAGCTCTAGTTCAAAGATATGATCCCAATCTTGTACTTACGTAGCTGATCTTGGGTGAAATCTCGACGCCAGCATTGTCGTCCTCGCTTGTCACAGTAGCACCGACAGCCTCAAGCCATCTAGTGCCTTGACGGAAGATGTCACGCTTACTGGTATCAGGATCATCCTCACCAGTGCCTCTAGCATTCTTGAGAGGCGAGAACTCGTCCTCTCTCTTGACCTCCTGACAAGCGAACTTGTCCATAGAAAGGAAGGGGAAGCAGTCAAAGACGAATTGCTCGAGCTTGATTCCGTTTGGCTTCTCAGGCTTGATCGTCTCGCCCTTCTCAGTGTCGACGTAGGGGATCTTCTTTCTAGCAATATGGTGAGGGAGCTTGTCTGACCACTGGGGAATGCTCTCCAAGAAGTCGAACGAGTAGTAGTGGTTGACAATGTTGGCAGCGCGGAACTTGAGCAGGCTTGAGTCTTTGGAGTCCTTTGCCTCGGAAGTCTCTTTGTCAATCTCAGAGTACTCAACGACGTCGGGCTTGCCATTCTTTGACAAGATAAGTCCGACAGACTCCTTAGCGTCGCGCTTGCGGACGACCTTGGTGGCAATGTCCACGTTCTTCGAAGCCGAGAAGCCAATGAAGGTGGGGTCAGCAACTCTGACGAGGCAGTTGTCGACACAGTATGCGTGAATGTGCTTGATGCCTCTCTTGGACATGTCTTGAACGACGCCTGACTTGAACAGGGCATTGTAGAGACCACCATTACCATCAGGTGCAACAGCGACCTTTGACTTTGACTCCAACAAAATCTTGCCGTCATTGGAAATGCAAGGAAGAGTGCCCTGCTCGAAGAAGATGACATTGTTTCTGTTGAGACCAAAGTATGCGTGCTTTTCGAAGAACTCTTCGGTAGGCTTGCGTGTAGGACCGCTGGTCATGATGTACCATGGCACGACAACCTCTTCCTTGCTGTGTTCGTGCTGAGCCAGGTGTTGGATCTTCCAGATTCTCTCTGCTTGAAGCTGGAAAAGTGACTTTTGGCTAGGAAGACCAATGTCGTAGCATCCCTTGGGAGCAGAGCTACCAAGACGAGTACCCTGACCACCGGCCATGAGGACTACGGCAACCTGGTTTTGTGCAATGAACTGCAGACCCTGTGTGTACCATCTGTTCAGGTCGTCGGGCTTGGAGTCGTAGATGGAGGAAGTGGCGGATTCAGGAAGCTGCTCGAGTTTGGGTGCAGCGTCTTCGGATTCGGACTTGGGAGGGTTCAAGGCGCGGTTGGTGATTTCGTTGACATGATCAGGGTCGATGTTGACGAGCTGTTCGTAGAGCATGCCCTTTTCGGCGGCATTGATGTCGGTCCAGAAAGCAAAGACCTGCTCCTGGCCGGCCTTGGTGTACTTGTCCAAGAGCTTCTGGTAGTCTTCCTGGCTGGGCTCCTCAGGAGCAGGAGTGTTGCCGGTCAGATGGAGCTTCTCCAAGACGTTGTTGATCATGGCGGCAGCCATGTTGTGCGTGAGGTTGAGAGCGGTGAAGTTGGATGAATGAGTTTCGGCGAGGTCGTTCAAGGGTCAAGCGTACTTCTTGAGTATTGATGTCGGAGGTTGGTGGGATGAGGCAGGAACACAAAGGAGTTGAGGGGAAAGGTAGATACGAAACGCTTCTGGACACTTTCTTTTGTAATGGACCCTGCCAACGCCTCGAATCGAATCAACAATCACCGTCAATCGATGGAGAAGCACCGAAGCTTTGGTTGCCCCCCACTTGCGTCACTCTATTTTTGGCTTGCTTTCTTCTCCTGCAATCTTGCCCTGTTTTTCGTCTATTATCAATTCGTGTTGCAAGATATGCAGAACTCTCTACGGAGGATATAGTATGTAGATATGTATTCAATGAATAATTAGGCCTTGCCGGATGTGCTGTTTACAAAAGCAAAGAGCTCAAGCTCCCCACCCAAACTCAATGGCCGGCTTGTTTCAAGCTCAAAGCGGTCAACATGCAACGTCTGAAACGCTATCTTATTTGATCTAAGATTTTGCGTAACTCTGACCTCCTTCAACAGGGCTCGATCGAAGTTATCCAGAGCCACCTGGTTCTCGTTCGAAGCTGAGAATCTCGAGTGTATCGAGATTCAAGGACGATACAGCCATTCTTCGCGGCGGAATCTCACTTCAAAATCAACCTGACCGAACATGCCTACCGCAGCCATCAAATCGTGATCACCCTCTAGACCGACGAGGCTGCCACAGTCATCTCCATCACGCTCCTCGTACATGTTCCAGCCTCCTTCCTTCCGACCCTCTCTGGTGAAGAAGACTTCGACATTTCTTTTGCGGCCAGGGAACTGTGCTGGTCTGAAATTCATACCAATGCCGACCACCTCGCCATCTTTAAAGTAAGTCGTGAAGTCCTGACCACCGCCATCATCGTCGATGTAACGACGACCGTCATCGCCATGCACGCCGAGACTGCCACGTTCCCAACCTGGTAGACGAAAGGGTGGATACGGCGGAGCAACAAAGCCAATAGCAATTCCAGCATCACCCTCACCTCCAGAATCAGAGCCCATACGGGTTACACGAACCTCAAAGTAGATCGTGAAGGCTCTCCCGTTCGTTCTCAGAGGATCATTGAGATTTGCAGAATAAAGAGGGGCGGAGGTAGTAAGAATACAGTCCTCGCAGTTCTTACGTGTGCGAACAGACCAGGTATTGCGCTGCCGCATTGCCCTCGTCAACTCACCTGCAAAGTTTGGCGGAGGCTGGCTGAAGGTAAAACCATGAATGCGGAAGTCTTCATGGACTGAGGCTGGAATCTGGCCAGGTGGGTACAGACGATTACGATTGCACCATTCCTTCGCCTGTTCGGCCGAATACTGGGTTGCATTCGCAGTTGGTGAGAAATCGTGCGTCACAGCAGGGGCTGGCGGTAGTAGACTCGTATCAGGTACTGACAACCACGGAGCATAGTCCGGTGGAGCTGTTTGGTCCAGAGGGTCTTCATGGCGATGAGATGGAGGCGGTCCTGGCGGTGGTGCAAATTGTTGATCCATATTGGCCTTCTCATTGTGTCTTTGGTAGCCTGGTGGTGGACCTGGAGGTGGCGCGTAGATCTCTGATGATGCCTCTTGCCTTTTGCTCCAACCAGGTGGAGGTCCTGGAGGAGGATTGTAGTGTTCTTTGGTCATGATGAGCTTGCAAATAGCGGTAAATCCGAGCAAATCTGAATAATAGGGATATCAGGGTGGAAAGTGAAGTTATGGTAACTGCAACCGTGGCTCAGCAGTGGGCGCAGGTTGAGGCTGTTCAAGTTTCAGCTGTCATGAGAAGGCAGTGTTCATCATGAGCCAAGGAAGGATGATCTTGGAGGATGCGTTGGCAACATTGGCCTCGTTCGATGGATGTACCACCTCAAGAATCCTCTTGTTTCTCTTATCAGAGTAGAAAGACTGGAGAGCAGAGAATGCACTACTTCGCAAAAGGCACTCCTGCCACATATCTATGTTGCATATTGGGAGGTAGCATGCACAGGGCTGCCAGAGATCTTGTTAGCAACATGCCTAGCTTCCCCACACTTCGGGATGGGCCGAGACAAACATCAAGATGTCATCGACAGCCAAAAGAAAACAAAAGCAGGCGGTCAACATGTAGAAGAAGACGACATGGATGATCCAGCGGCACAACTGCATCAAAACTTACAAGATGCAGTCAGTAATGCCCTCGCCATGCGTCGTCCGATCCTCCACCACCTGAGTGCCGATACAGCATGGCTGCTCATGATCCCTCGCCCGCTCGCCGCAACCAGACGTGGAGGTCGAGTCTACTTCAACATTCTCATCGACCCCTGGCTTTCTGGAACACAAACCGACTACATCAGTTGGTTGAGCAAACAATGGCACGCCGATGAACCTCGAGTTCCGAGCATCGCTGCGGTAGAAGATCTGATTCGCGAGACCGAGAGTCTGGCCAGTGGGTTACGTTCAGAAAAGGGTAAAAAGAGCAATGGACAAGACAACGAAGATCTTGATGAGGTCGAGACTCTCATAGACGCTGTTGCCATCAGCCATCAGTTCACCGACCACTGTCACGAACAGACTATGCGAGACGTACATCCACACGTACCTGTCTTTGCGACTGAGGTAAGTAAATTGAAATGTCAAGCACGATGGCTCACGCTTATGACCGCAACAGAAAGCAATTCCACTGATCGAGTCGTGGAAGCACTTCCGCGTCGTACAGACGATACCATACTTCTCTCAGGATCCTGATTGGCATGCGACATCAGTACCCCCGTTACCAGAATGGCTCGGTATATCACGACTTGTAACAGGCAGTGATTTGCTATACTTTCACTCAGCCCTCATGATCACCTTCAACAATCAGCAAAGTGGCCAGACTTGCAGACGAAGCAGCTCGCGTCAGTATGTTGAGCCAGAACAAGAGGACGAGGGTGCGGAAGCAGTCATCTACACACCGCATGGGATACACAGTGATAGTGAGGGTCTTGATCTGGTGACCAAAGCCAACCCTCCGATAAAGACTCTAGCTTTCTTGCATGGCCTCGAAGACATAACACTGGGAGCAGCACAACAGCTCAATTTGGGAGCGCACAATGGACTCAAGGCGCAACGGAAACTCAAGGCTAGCTACTGGATTGCTACTCACGATGAGGATAAGAAGGGCACAGGTATCGTAGGGTGGTTGCTCAGAAGGAGGAAGATCAGCGTGAAAGATGCTGTAGAAGCCGAGAGGAAACGCAGGAGAGGCTCGTCGAGTGAGGATATGGCGTGCGACGAGGTGCTAGGGTCGTTCGAGGGAGTCAATTGGGCGGATGTTGGAAATGGTGAAAGCCTTGTACTGCAGTAAAACAGAGCCGGACTTGTCCACTGCATCAAGTACTCAACACTCAGCTAGAAGCATAGCCTTGGCGGTCCCTGTCAGCCATATTCTAATGCAATTGTGTGTTCTAACATGTGCATGTGACAGTTGTAGGGAAAGTGTCGGAGATTAGATGGGAGTAGTGAAAGTCTAAATGCGGGATGCGGCGGTGATCAAGCGGGCGTGGCATTTCCAGCTGGCATTTGATACGAACATGGACACGCACTTGTCGCATACGGCACAATGAGGACATCGTCGTGGCGAGCCGTGTCGCTGCTCTTACTATGCCTGGTACTAGCCTTTGTCAACTGCCAGGACGCCGCCCCAAATCAACAAGATGGCTCCCATCATGACACGACTCCGTATCTCACTCCCGAACACGACCACCCCGAAACACATACCAAACTACCATACGAACAGAGTCCAGCTGTCAAGGATGCTCTCTCCTCTCTACGCAAGATTCGCCCAGCAACGAGCCGCCTTGCACGCCTCAGCAAGCCCTCTGGTCTTGTGGCCAAGACCATCTACTATGCCAAAGAGTTGTTTGTCCTTCTCTTCATGAACCAGCCCGACCAGAAGGATCTCCTCATCACCGACGCTACTCCTCCGCCGCTTGCTCCCGCTCTTTCTCGCGCCGTCACATTACTCCAAGATGCCGTCGCCGAACAAGATCCAGATGCTTTGTGGCTGTTGGCCGAAATGAACTTCCACGGCAACTTCACCCACCCTAGAAACTACTCGCGCGCCTTCGAATACTACCAGACTCTGGCAAATATGAACGGTAACAGTTCTGCCCAATACATGCTAGGCTTCATGTACGCCACCGGTATTGGAAATGCCGTCCCACAAGATCAGGCTAGAGCTCTTCTATACCACACTTTCGCTGCCGAGCAGGGTGACATTCGCTCTCAGATGACCCTGGCTTACCGCCATCATTCTGGAATCGCCACACCTAGAAACTGTGAAGAGGCGGTACATTGGTACAGATTGGTCGCTAAGCAAGCTGTTGCATTCTACAAGTCTGGTCCTCCTGGTGGTCACTCTTTGGTCAAGAATGCTTTCCGTTTGGTTGATGAGGAAGGAGGCATCTACGGCGAAGGTGCGAGTGTCAGCAGTTCCGGCATCCATGCAAAGACTGGAGGCCCTACATCAGATGCCTACGCTGATCTGGACGACGTTCTTGAATACCTCGATTTCCAGTCAAGAAAGGGCGATCTTAAGGCTACATTCCATCTTGGCAGACTCTACTATGACGGTTCTCGGGGACTAGCTCGCAACTTTCCCGAGGCCAAGGATCACTTCATGCAGGTCGCTAGATCATACTGGACTTCTTCTGGCAAAGTCAAGTCTGATGTCTCGTCCGTAGTCGAGAAGCTTGCTCCCAAAGCTGCTGGTTATCTTGGCAGAATGTTCTTGCGTGGTGAGGGTACTGAGAAGAGCTACAGCAAAGCCAAAATTTGGTTCTCTCGCGGTATCGAACATGGCGATGCTCTGTCACAATACTCTATGGGAGTCATGTATATGGAAGGGCTGGGTGTCCCTAAAAATCCTGTGAGAGCTGCTGAATACTTCTCTCCAGCCGCAGACCAAGACCTTGCAGTGGCTCAGACAAACCTGGGCATCTTGTTCATGGATCAGGGAGACGTCCACACTGCAAGAAGTTACTTCGATCTGGCTGCCCGCAACAGTCACATCGAAGCCTTCTACTACTTGGCTGAGCTGAGCAATCAAGGTGTTGGTCGTGATCGCTCGTGTGGCATGGCCTCTGTCTATTACAAGATCGCATCCGAAAAAGCCGAAGTTATCCACTCATCCTTCATCGAAGCAAACGAGGCTTACGAGCGCGGAGATCTGGAAACCGCCATCATCGCCTACATGATGGCCGCTGAACAAGGCTACGAGAATGCACAAGCCAACGTCGGATATTTACTCGACCATACTCGCCCACGCTACTCACTTCCCTCAATATTTCCCTTCCTCCGCCGTCGTCTTGATGCAGCCGGTGATGCAGCTCTTGCTCTTATTTACTGGACTCGTTCGGCCAAACAATCGAACACTGACTCTCTCGTCAAGATGGGCGATTACTATCTCGACGGTGTTGGTACTGCCTCATCTCCGGAGAATGCAGCTATCTGCTACCAAGCCGCTTCTGAAGGCATGTTGAGCGAAGGCATGGCAAGCGCGCAAGCCATGTGGAATCTTGGTTGGATGCATGAGAATGGCATTGGCATTGAGCAAGACTTCCATCTAGCCAAACGTTTCTACGACCAGGCACTTGGCACAAATGCAGAAGCATATTTGCCCGTCAAGCTGAGTCTTGCAAAGTTGAGATTGCGTAGCTGGTGGAATGGCGTCAGTGGTGGTAGTGTCAACTCGATCAGAGATGAGCCTTGTAAGTGATGCTTGCTCATGTACATTAACAGTGACTAACGAATCATGAAATAGCCCAAAAGCCTAGTCGAACACTCAGTCAGTGGGTCAGCGACTTCCTCGAGGCCGACGCAGCCTACTACGCCGAGCATTTCGAAGCAGATGATTGGGACGATGCACACCATCACATGCCTGGCGGCGACGATTTCTACGACGACTCAGATATTGACGACGGTCTGATCGAGATGTTCATGATCGTTGGTCTCGCCGCTCTACTTGCTTTCTTGGTGTATTATCGTCAACAGAGACAGCAGGAAGCAAGACGTAGAGCAGAGCAGCAAGGTCAGCAACCAGGAGCAGATGGCAATGTAGCAGCACAGCAACAGCAAGACCAAGGTTTCTTCCCTCCACCAGGAGAACCAGAGTTTGCCAATTGGGTTGCTGGAGGAGTGGGACATTGATACGTCCTTTTGAGAATTAGTTGCATAAAGTCGAATCAAATCGAATCATTAGCGTATAACATTTCTTTGCATTCAAACGAGAGAAATTCTCTTCTTTTTCTCTATATACATCCTCTCTCTTACCCTCACTCCTCAGCAAAGAACTCCCTAAGCTTGTTATCCAACCACTCCACATCCTGCTTCGACTGTCCCGGCCCACCAGCCCAATGACCCCAAATACTAGGAAAGACTTCGAGGCGTCCAATCCCTTCTTTCATACAACTGACCTCATACTCGCTATCCTCGGGCGGAAAGTACAAATCTGTTTTCGAGGGCAGGACCAACGCTTTTGCTTTTATGGCTGCGAGTGCTGCTGGGAAGTCATTGTGGTATGGGGGTTGAGCGGATATGTCGCCGCTTTGCCAGGTTTGGAGCATTGTTAGCATGTTTTCGGGATCTTTTGAGAGGGCCCAGGACTCCCAGAAGTCAGTCATGAAGCTGTTTGTTGCAGGATTAGTGGAAGGGGGGTTAAATGGGAGGGAAGGAGGTAAGCAGCTTACGTCTCCAAATCCTTGAATCCAAGTGCAGTTTCAAAAAGCTTCTCGCGGTAAAAAGCTTGACTGAATCCCCAACCCGCATAGACTCTTCCCAGCGCCTTGAGTCCGTTTTCTCTCTCTTGTGCCGTCCATTCTTTGCCTTTTTCTTGGCTTGTATACCCCTTGCAGATCCCTGCCGAAGCAGCTCCCTTGCCCGCAACCAACGCCCCCTTGACCCCCTCCAAAAACACCTGATTATGCAAACTCGTCTTTGCAGAGCCGCAAAACGGAGCTATCTTATCCATAAACTCTGGATACTGGGTGCTCCACTGGTAGGTTTGTGCTGCGCCCATGGACCAGCCCAGTACTGCAAAGACATGGTTGATCTGCAAGTGTTTTGTAACCAAAGTGTGTTGGGCTTTTACGTTGTCGTAAAAGGTTACTGCGGGAAAGGGACGTAGGGAAGTATTAGATGGAGACGAAGATTCAGAGTTTCCGAATAGGGCGGGGATGATTATGAAGTAGGTTGATGGGTTGAGAGTCATGGAGGGGCTGATCAGCCATTCGTTGTCGGAGATTACTGGGGGTTGATGTCAAGATGGTTGAGGGATGGAAGGTAAAAGGGGGAGCGTACATCCACTGTACCACGTTGGATATATGATTGCTGGTAACGAAGGATCTCCAAAGGTCTTGTATGCTATCTTTGCTGATGGAATCACTTCGCCAGATTGAAGGGTAAAGTCTCCTAGATCGTAGGTTTTGTAGTCTGGCATTGTGATGTGTTGACTTCCACTTGCTTGCTCAGTAAAGGATTGATGTCTTTTTGTGAAAAGGTGCTCAATTGCAGTGGTAAGTAGAGTAGAGGTTTCTTCATAGATAAGGTATTGTATATCTACCCCGCTGGCCGGAGGGGTAGAGGGAACATGGATAATCGTTGCTTGTTCTGGAGATGTGCCCTTTATCTGGCCTATCTCCCCATGTTGTCCTTCTTGCCTACCTTTTTTCGTCTCGACTGCCCATGATAAGTCATGGCTTCTGTCCGTCGCTCACAAACGATGAGCGTCTTACAATCCGTTCGTCTCGAGTCGTAGAGCCGTGCGTCTTTCGATCATTCCGACAAGCCAGCCCTCTGAGCAAGCGAGCCCTTGAATGTAGCACATACCGTCTATCATGCGCACCGTATCCAAGACACACATCGACGACCCTCGAGGACGAATGGCACGATTTTCTCCCATAGAGAGCTGCTGCTCTCTTGATCAAACCTGCCTTGATGGAGCTGTGCCAGCGCACAGACCTCCAAAGCCCTGACAGCGATGACATCGCCCTCTTGACTGATGAAGCTGCAGAAGCCTCGGGAAAACTGAGCTTCACTTGATCGTAAAACCGACCGGCATAGCTCGGTTATGAAGCAGTAGACACGTGGTGCCAGAGCCTCAGCCATTGAGCCGATTCAAAAGGAGCGTTCAATTCCACCACGGAAAAAGGTAGGAACGGTCTCTCAACGAAAACCAATTGATCTCTCTCTCCTTCCCCAATCACTCTACAACCTTGAAAACAAAGCTCCCATCCAAAACACCACAAGAGCTAGCTCAAAATGTCCTCCTCAACCACCACCACCACCATCGGCAAATCCGACCACGAAACCCCAGAATTCGACACCACGGCAAACAACCTCCAAGACCTGCTGGAATACAACGACCACGCCTCAGGCCGCGGTCTCTACTCTCTCGTCTCTTTGCCCGCTGGTTCGCTCTTCGCTCCCTTGACCGCAATCTCCCCTTGCCCTGCCCCCCTCTGGCATACCCTCCAGATCTCGCGCACCGAGCATGTAAACCTGGACTCTGCGTTCAAGTACCTGAATCACTCTTGCAATCCTTCGCTGGAGATTGACACTGAGAAGAGGGAGGTTAGGGTTGCCAAGGACAGGGACTTGAACAAGGGCGATTTGTGCAGTTTCTTTTATCCGAGTACGGAGTGGAGTATGGATAGAGGCTTTGACTGCTTGTGTGGTGAGAAGCAGTGTGTAGGTCAAGTCAAAGGTGCCAAGGACATGAAGAAGCAAGACTTGGAAAAGTGGTTTATCAACGGCTACATCTGGGAGTTGAAGGACGAGCAAGAGAAGCAAGGCAAGAGCGCCTGAAAACACACAAAGTGACGAATTGAGAGTTACCTGATGATTGGAAAGTAGAAATAGACATGTTTGGTAGAAGAAAAAGTGACAAATGTGTATGATCATAAAATGCTATGCTCTAAAAACCACCCCCTTCAAGTCTACAAAAGCCACAGCTCCCAAAACTCCCAAGTCGTTATACTAAGAGACATTTACAGCTGGATATCGTTGTTGAGCAAGCGCACCTCCTCGCCAGGCTTGAAAGCAGGCAGTCCAATGTACGGACATCCGTCACATCTGAAAGCATCTCCAAGTGCACAGTTGCCACAACTGCCGACCTTGCCTTGAACAGTGAAATCAACCTCAGCCAAGTCGTCAGTATCCAACTTCATGGTCTTGAGTGCACTGTCGGCAGCTTCGCGCTTAGCCTTGTCTTCGGCATCGAGCTTTTGCTTGAGTCCACAAGTGCAGTCCTTGCATGCACGTCTTCTCTTGCCGTTGGGCTTGCAAGCTTCAGGGATCACGATAGGACGCTTGCGATCCTCTTCGCTGAGTAGTGTGTTGGGGTCAATGGTAGAGCCATTGAGCAATTCCTCCTTTGACGGCAACTCCATCTCTTCATCTTCATCGTAAAACTCCACATCCAGATCATCGCCCATATCGAAACCAACTCCAGCAGGTGCCGCAGGTGCAGCAGTCTCAGTGATGGTCTTGTTGATAGCTTCGACGTTGTTCAAAGGCACAGCAGCAGCATTTGCCTTCTTCTTCTTTCCAAAACTCAAAGTGACGGTTTGCGCAGCTGCGGGCTTGGCCATACCACCACTAGCATCCTGGACAAGACCAGCGAGGATAGCCTCAGTCTGCTCAGAAGACGTCTGTGCACCGAATGCTCCATCCTGACTCTTCAACTTTCCACCAGCCTTGAGCGAAGGCACGAGTTTCTCGATGATTGCACGATTGAGTGGCTCACGCGAGCCATCGACGTTGGTGAGTAAAAGGACCAGATCATATGTGGAAGCAGGCAGAGAAACAAGACCGAGGGCGAGACGATCGAGCATCTGGATATCGGTGGCATTGCGATCGTGGGCTTCGACAATGCTGTTGAGGGCGTCTGGGTGTGAGGCGATTGAAGGTGGGGCGAGAAGAAGGGTTCTGTCTTGCGACTTTGTCGGCGGTGGGGCGAACGAGAAGTCGAATGTGTTGTCGATGGTGATACCGGGTGCCATTTTGAGAAGTGTGATGTTGTTGTTGAGACTCAAGGACTCGATGGTCGTTTCTTGGAAAGTTTGCTTGCAGAGGCAGAGAAACGCCTCAAGTGGATCGTCGGTGGGGTCAAAGGAATCTGCTGATCGAAAGTGACCGAGTGATTTTCAGTTCAAGTGTCGTGTCCTAACAAAGAGAGGCAAAGTTGTACGTATTACTGAAACGACAAAGATCAATAGATGCGACAAGAAGAATTGCGAAAAGGTGATTATCAATGTACAAGACCACGACCCCCACCTATGACCAATTTCTACGTCTGGCCAATCAACTGCCCCTCGCCGCCCGCCGAACTCGGTCCGCGCCTGACATGTGCTGACCGATCATTTCTGCCAAGCCCTTCGCGTTTGCTTTGTACGAATCGAGTCGTTCTATCCACCGCGGAAAAACATATCCATGCTCTCCCCGTCTGCTGACGACTGTCATTTGTAGCTGCGGAAATGCACAATACTTTTGTTGAAAACATAGTGTCCACTGAGATATCCTATCATAGTCTATCTCCATGGTCAGACCTAGCTGGGACTCGCGATTGTGCATTTTAGCAGCTCATAGTGAGCCTTACATTAGGATGGAGAAGGGTTCAGTTACTAGGAATCAATGCATGAGGATGATAAGCGTGAACAGTGAAAAACAGTCGTGTACGTGATACATAAAACATGCTAGAAAAAAACTCCCCCCTTTCGTTCCTCTGGATATATTGAAGCCTATCATTCCATCAATCATGTCCGCTTCATCAGCACTATTACAACACTTATTTGACAATCTTGCAAATAAGGTCCTGGCCGTCCACAGAGTCTGACTCCTTGACACTGAGCTCGCCAACCTTACCAGAGTGAGGTGCACTGATGACCATCTCCATCTTCATGGCACTCAGAATGGCAATAGGGTCACCCTTGCTGACATCACTGCCCTCCTTGACTCTGAGCTCGACAACAACACCACTCATGGGTGCACCAACCTGGCTGCTGTCGCCAAGATCTGCCTTCTTACGGGACTTGTTCTCAACAGCGGCGTGCATGTCGTCAACAGTGACTTGACGGACTTCACCGTTCATCTCGTAGAAGACTTCTCTCTGACCAGTCTGCTCGGAAAGGGGTCCGATGGCAAGAAGCTTGATGATGAGCACCTTACCCTTCTCAAGCTCAACGTGGAACTCCTCACCAATCTCAGGCTTGGCCAGGAAGTACTTGGTAGGCAAGACTGAAAGGTCTCCGAACTTCTGTGTCCACTTCTTGAAATCTTCAAACACCTTGGGGTACATGACGTATGAGGCAACATCGGTCTCGGTGTAGCCACCGAACTGCTCCTTCAGCTTGGCGCGGACCTCGTCGAAGTTGACGGGCTCGAGGTAGAGACCAGGTCTCTTGTTCATCTTTCTACGCTCACGAAGAGCCTTGGTACGGAGAGGCTCGGGGAATCCGCCGTAGGGCTGGCCCATGAGACCCTCGAAGAACTCAAGAACGGATGAGGGGAAGTCGAGCTGCTCGGCCTTCTCGAGAACGTCGTTGTAGCTCAGCTTGTTGCTGACCATGAATTGAGCAAGATCACCAACAACCTTGGAGGTAGGAGTAACTTTGACAATGTCACCGAGCAAGTCGTTGGCTTGCTCGTAGGCCTTCTTGGTCTGAGCCCACTGCTCACCCAAACCTTGCTGAGAGGCCTGGAAGATGAGGTTGGTAAGTTGACCACCAGGAATCTCGTGCTCGTAAACTTCAGGGTCAGGTCCAGTGAGACCAGCCTCGAAAGGTGAGTAGAGGAGACGAAGCTGAGCCCAGTAGTGGTCGATCATTCTGAGGTGGTGGGCGTTGAGACCGGGGTCATGTTCGCTGCCCTCAAGAGATGCAACAAGAGCACCAATGCTGGGCTGAGAGGTCATACCAGACATGCTGTCAGTGGCAGCATCAACGGCATCAGCACCAGCCTGAGCACAAGCAACCATTGAAGCAACACCAGTACCGGCCGAATCGTGAGTGTGCACGTGAATAGGCAGGTCGGGGTACTTCTTTCTGATGGCACCAACCAACATGGTGGCGGCCTTGGGCTTCAAGACACCAGCCATATCCTTGATACCAAGAATGTGAGCGCCCATGTTGACAATCTGCTCAACCACACTCATGTAGTACTCAAGGTTGTACTTCTTGTTAGGGTTAAGCATGTCACCAGAGTAACAGACAGTACCCTCGGCAACACCGCCAGCCTTGAGGACAGCCTTGACACCGACCTCGAGTTGCTCAACATCGTTCAGTGCATCGAAGACACGGAAAATGTCGACGCCGTTCTTCTTTGCTTGCTCACAGAAGTGAGTGATGGCATTGTCAGGCAGCGATGAGTAAGCAACACCGTTGGCACCACGGAGGAGCATCTGGAAAGGAATGTTGGGCACAAGCTTTCTCATCTTGCGCAGTCTGTCCCAAGGGTCCTCGTAGAGGAAGCGCATGGCGACATCGAAAGTAGCACCACCCCAACACTCAAGGGCCCATGCATTGCTGAGAGCGTAGCTGGTCTCCTTGGCAATGTTGAGGAAGTCGACAGTACGGACTCTGGTGGCAAGAAGAGACTGGTGAGCATCTCTCCATGTGGTATCCATGATCAAACAGCCCTTGTTGGCTCTGACAGCCTTGGCGAAGGCAGCTGGACCCTGCTCCACAATAATGTTTCTCCAACCCTTCTTGCAGGGCTCCGAAACGTCCATGACCTTGTCCTGCTCATCGTGAAGGGTAGGAATGACGATGTCGCCCTTGAACTTGGGCTCACCAATCTGACCCTTGATCTGACTGCCGTTCACAGCGAGGTCGCCAAGGTAGCCGAGCAGCTTCTGAGCACGGTTCTGACTGTTGACCAGGGCGAACAACTCAGGGGTATCATCAATGAAAGTAGTCCAGCACTCGCCAGCAATGAAGGTAGGATGGGTGAGCAGAGATGCCAAGAAGGGGATGTTGGTCTTGACACCGCGGATTCTGAATTCGACCAAGGCACGAAGCATCTTTCTGCGGACGATCTCGTAGGTTGAGCCACGGCACGAGCACTTGACAAGCATGCTGTCGTAGTGAGGAGTAATGACAGCGCCTGCGAAACCATTGCCTCCGTCGAGACTATTTTCCGACTTGTTAGCATAAGTACACATAAAACAAGGTCAGAAAAAAACTTACCGAACACCGTTACCACCAGCAGAGCGGTAGACTTCGATTCTGCCAGTGTCGGGCGAGAAACCCTTGGAGGGATCCTCAGTGGTGATACGGCACTGGAAGGCGAAACCGCGGACTGAGATGCGGTCCTGAGTGAGACCCAGCTGCTCAAGCGATGCACCTGCAGCGATCTGAATCTGAGCAGCGACAATATCGATACCAGTGATTTCCTCAGTAATGGTGTGCTCGACCTGAATTCTGGGGTTGATCTCGATGAAGTAGTGACGGTTCTCCTGGTCAACCAAGAACTCTGCGGTACCAGCGTTACGGTAGTTAACCGACTTGGCCAAAGCGACAGCGTCGTTCAGAATGGCCTGACGAGTCTCTTCAGGCAAGTCCTTTGCAGGAGCAAGCTCGACAACCTTCTGGTGACGTCTTTGGACACTGCAGTCACGCTCGTAGAGGTGGACGACGTTGCCGTGGCTGTCACCCAGAAGTTGGACTTCAATGTGCTTGGGGCGGTACAAGAAGCGCTCAACGAAGACGGTACCGTTACCAAAGGCAGACTTGGCCTCGGATGTGGCACGCTCGAAGGCCTCCTTGAGCTCCTCTTGCTTCCAGACGACTCTCATACCACGACCACCTCCACCAAAGGCAGCCTTGATGATGATGGGGAATCCGTGCTGGTCAGTGAAGCTCTTGACTTCTTCAAACTTCTCGACAGGGCCGTCGGTACCGGGGACGACGGGGACCTTGCACTTGATAGCGAGCTCACGGGCAGAGACCTTGTCACCGAGAGCGGTAATGGTCTCAGGAGTAGGACCAACGAACTGTGGCGTGTCAGTGTGACTGTCTTCACGAACTTGTAGAAACTGCCCAACTTACAATCATGCCAGCTTCCTCGACCTTGCGAGCGAACTCGGCGTTCTCACTCAAGAAGCCATAACCAGGGTGAATGAGGTTGACATTGTGAGCCTTGGCAATCTTGACAATCTCGTCGATGGCGAGGTAAGCAGCGACAGGTGTGTACTCTCCTCTCTTGCCAATGACATAGGCTTCATCGGCCTTCTGTCTGTGCATAGACAGGCGGTCCTCATGACTGTACACGGCTACTGTCTGTAGTGAGAGCTCGTGTGCGGTACGGAAGATACGAATAGGGATTTCTCCGCGGTTGGCGACTATCTCGAGATCAGCGGTTGTTGGGACAGACACGGCACAAGTATGATAGCATACCCAGGATCTTCTTGGCCTTCATGACTGTCGAGTTGGCGCGCAGACGGGCGTGGACTGTGTTCTGCGAGTGTGTGTCGACGCCGTCTTCAATGGCCTCATCGTTCGAGGTGTTCAGGCTCTTGAGAGCTTCAATGTTCGACATGTTGGCGAGTCAATGGCTCGGAGAGCTGCTATCTAACAGCAGCTGCTTTCCAGAGCTCGTTGGTGGGGGATTGAGAGAAAGGAGGAAGGGGGGTTTGCGGTATGCAAGAAGTGAAGAGGAAAAGAAGTGTTTCAATCAATCGAGTAGAGTCACAAAGTGGTGGATCTCAGCAAAAAAGCGATGACGGTGAGCTTAAACCAAGTTGATGCTATCTCGGCCTCTGCTTGGTAGCTTGGTGCTGCTTTCGGCTGATTGACCCCGCCAATCGGAAAAGCTGGCGAGAATCGCGAGATAAGGCCGCTGGCTGCTTACTAGCAGTGATTATGAACGAAAAACAGCCTTCCAGCCGCTCTCAAGTCGAAGGTCTTCGTCGAAGAGGTGTCTATACCATCCATGTAGCTATATAGTATCCATGAAATCATCCTCGGTGCATCATTAACCCCGCCTTGACGAACACCTGGAGTAAATTGTCAATGCACATCCTAAACCCGACTCCTTCTCGTCAATTTTCGGGAAGGTACGGAGCTGTATCTGCTAAGGGTCCAGAGCTCCTTCCCAAATTCCGAAGACAGCTCCTCTACCCCTGCCTTGCACCACTGCCTTGGGTTCTTCGGACTCGCTCCGATCTGCTTCCCCACTTGACCTCTCTGCACTCCGAAACCTCTTGCTTTTCCAGAATTTTGTCGTTGTAGACTTCCATCCTTGTCCCCATCGCTCGCAGATGCTTGCTTCGAACTCCAGGGCCGCAGTCGGCCAGCTTCGGGCCTTTTGACTGGCTGTTATTATCAACTGCAATCGATTCGTAGCAGCCACTTTCTGCCTTGTGCTTCAACAAATCAATTTCACAGTCATAATTCTTCCGTTTACGAGTAGATCTTTCCTCCTTGCTACTAGAAAGCCACACCCTCGGTCTCTCGGGCGTAGGGAATTACCTTGCTTGTGCTCTTTGCCTTGTTTCCATCACAAATTGGTTGTTTTCATGCAGGGAACGATGTCCAGGAGTGGTGTCCGCAACCCTACTTGCAGCTTTATGACCAACTACACACCTCTGCCCCTCTTCTTGGCTGTTTACAGGCACTTGTGACAGTCATCTGATTCAGTCTTTCCTTCTTACCACGACAAGACATCTATGATTGTTCGAACAATACGCATGTTCTATCCTAATGAAGAGACTTACTCCTCTTATTGGAACGTCAACCCTGTTGTAAAGCTATATCACGTCCGCCAAGCTCTTTCCGCCTGAAAGGAGGGCGGAAATGATCATTCTCTGATTAATCACGACGCTCAGGTTGCCTTGCGAAACAATGCCAATGGTGCAACGCACGCTTTCGGTGGGGCCATCCTCTTCGAGCATCGACTCTGTCTGCTCCTCTTCAAGAATTCCGCATTTCGCCAATTCCGCATTTCCATTCGAATGGAACCACCTCCCAGAATTGATTCCGCCACGCTTTGTCAATGTCAAGGATCATGTTCTCGAATCTATGTCGAAAGCCACATAGAACGTATCACTGGCGGTCTGGACCACAAGAAGTAAAGCCATTTGATGTCGGGAAGAATGTCAAGCATTTGGAAATTGGTCACGATCGGTACCTTGCATCGAAGGCTAGCTGCACCTCTTCTGACTAGATGGTCTGTTGAGGAAGCGCCCTGGAAGTATGGAGAACAGCATGGCTCGAGTTCGAACAGCAGTCTCATGGAGAGTGATCTTTCACTGCGCTGGCGAGGCCATGAATTTTACACAGGCTCCTGATCATTGTCTCGAGTAGCATGAAAACACGGTGATTGCCAGATGGGTCGCAATTGCTTGAACAATCGGTCGTCACGTGGGTGTAGTAGACATTCACTCGGCCCATCCACTTCTCATGCTGCACATCAGATGAGATGACCCAATCTCACCAAGAGTGCTCACATATGAGTAAGTTACCAGCATGCCGTGTGCGGTGTCTTCTTGTCCGACTTTGCTCGCAGATAGACGAGATTCATCACAGTGAATACTGACGACAACGAGTGTTCTGGCTCATCCAAACCTCTTTGTACACTAATGACGTCCAGCGACTACAAAACCACCATCCCTCTACTTGCAAGCATCCGAGCACGTGTTGAAGCTCTCTTGTCCCTGCATGGCTAGTTCCCAAGATATACGTTAGAAACGAGATAAGCATATGGACAATACTTGACATTCAACGGTAATCGGCTTTTCGCGTAAAGTACCCTTTGAAAACACCCGAGTGGTTCCTACCTCTGCCAGGTGATACCTACACGAAAGCCCTGAATTGCAGCTGGAAAGGACAAAGAATGGCATGCGATCTATGGAACTCGTAAGGGTTGCACACCGACTAGAGACTATCGGCGGAGGTCAAGCATTCCGGGGGGCCGGACCATATTAATGCGCGATGCGAGTCGTTAGCTTGTTATACAGCATCATCATCATCATCTTTACGGAAGGCCGCGGAGATAAAATTGCTTCTAGAATATTGGTGCTAGAATTTTAAAGTTTGGCTGACCGTTGCGCATCAGGGCCGCCGCCTTCCGAAGTTGTCGACATCATACCTCCTCAGGCATACACGACCATCAACAGCACCTGCCTTGTCGAGATTCCTTGTGAATGATTGTGGTATGGAACGGAAGTCTATAATGAGGTCTATTGTCTTATGGCAATGCCAACGATCTCGGCCATCGCAGTGCCCGTACTCGCTCAGTTAGGTAAATAGACGAAAGCCGTTGATGACCACAAGCCTACCAGCAGTAGTGGTCCGCGGTAAACCCTGATCGAAGCTTTATTCGGCCTGCTATGTCATAGAGTACCTCATGGTCAATTTTTCGCGACGGCGGCGTACGGGCCTTATTATTCCTATGCATCTACCTTCTTCGGGAGTACACACCGCTCAATCTCACAAGCACATCGATACATAGGGAGTCTTTTACAGACACAACTGGCACCAGCAATGTCGCATTGCTTTTCCGGATCGAGCAGGAAGTTCCAAAGGAACAACTCGAAAATCCAGGATGACGGCAGAGCGGACGTATCTTTCGACGAAAAACTCCAGGGGAAGCTCTTCCGCAAACTCAAGCATGATGACAAAAATGCAACAAAAAAGAGTCCCGATGAGTTAGACAGCAAGGAACCCAAACGTGCGATTGTCCATTTCCGCAGTCGAAAGGACGACTTCGTGCCAGATCTTCAAGGCTTTGAAGGCGTACCTCGCATGAACATTGCAGGTATCTTGATGTCCATATCCAAGCATCGTAACCATCAAGCTAACGCGCTCAGTTCTCATCACTGGTTCTCGTGGAGATGTCCAGCCGTTCGTCGCTTTGGGCCAAGTCTTGACAAAGCCGCCATACAACCACCGCGTCAGAATCTGCACCCACCCCAACTTCAAAGATTTCGTCGAAGAGAATGGACTCGAGTTCTTCTCCATTGGTGGAGATCCTGAAAAGCTCATGTCATACATGGTTCGCAACCCTGGTGTCTTGCCCAGTCTCGAGTCTATGAAAGCTGGAGATGTCGGCGACCGCCGTAAAGAGATGGCAGAGATGTTGGAGGGCTGCTGGAGAGCTTGTACACAAGGTGGAAACGGAATGGATCCCATCAGACTTCCGGAGACGAGCAAGATCAGCACGGAGACCCTCATGAAATTGCCGGATCCTTTTGTCGCAGACGCCATCATCAGCAATCCTCCTGCTTATGCCAACATTCACATTGCTGAGAAGCTGGCAGTACCTCTACACATGATGTTCACCATGCCTTGGAGTCCGACGACCGCGTTTGCCCATCCCCTGGCCAATCTGGACAGCGACAAAGGAGATAGAAAACTTGCAAACTACCTTTCATACTACAGCATGGAGTTGCTTACATCAGAGGGGTTGATCGATCTGATCAACGACTTCAGAGAAAACACATTGGCATTGGATCCTCTGCATGCTGCTTGGGCACATCAATTGCTGCCTCAGTTGAAGGTGCCATTCACATACTGCTGGTCGCCTGCCTTGATTCCGAAACCAGAAGATTGGGGCTCACACATCACCATCAGTGGCTTCTTCTTCATGGACCCCAAGAAGGACTTTGAGTTTGAACCTGATTTGAAGAAATTCTTGGATGCTGGTGATCCACCAATTTATATTGGGTTTGGTTCGATCGTTGTAGACGATCCAGAAGCGATGACAAAAATGATTCTGGATGCTGTTAAGCAGCTTGGAAGTGAGTTGTAATGTTTCTTTCGATGGCGAGATTTGGTCTAACAGCTTCTACAGTCAGAGCTCTGGTATCCAAGGGATGGGGAAAGATTGGAGGTGAAGATGTTCCTGACAACGTCTTCCTACTTGGCAATGTGCCCCACGATCAGCTCTTCCCGCATTGTGCAGCAGTTGTACACCATGGTGGTGCTGGCACAAATGCTATCGGTATATCTCTTGGCTGTCCAACAGTCGTGGTGGTAAGTGTTGATCCTTCAACATTGCGAGACACAAGCTAATTTCTTGGTATTATAGCCATTCTTTGGTGACCAACCTTGGTGGGGAGATATGATTCACAAGGCTGGAGCTGGCCCGGCACCTATACCCTACAAGGATCTTGATGCCGACAAGCTTGCCAACCAAATCAGAGAAGCCCTCAAACCCGAGACAAAGGAACGTGCAAGAGAACTTGCAGCTAAGATCAAGGAAGAAACGGGTACTAAGACTGCTGCAAAGTTCTTCCATGAGACCAAACAGATGCAAGATGCTTACTGCTTCTTGTGCCCCGAGAAAGTTGCAGTGTACCGCCTGAGAAGAACGAACATCAGGCTCAGCGCTCTTGGTGCAGCTATTCTTGTCGACAAGGGCAAGATTCAACCCCAACATTTGAAGCTCATCAGACAGAAGCGATGGTATGTCGAGAAGGGTGCCCAAGAGCCCATCATCGGCATTGTTGGTGCGATTTCAACGACAGGAGTCGGCTACAAGAACTGCTTTAGCCGCTTGTCCAGAGATCTCCATGCAAATAAGAGACCCGATGCAGGTCGCAGCAAGATCTTTGTCGGCGACTCGGAAGCCGCCGAACAGGTTCCCGGTGCTCTCAAAGCTGTTGGCAAATTCGGCGGATCCCTGGGCATGAACACGCTCAGACTCCCTGTGGATCTCTTATACAACCTCGCCAATGGGTTCCACAATATGCCTTACCATTTCTTCAACGATGACACTGTTCGCGTCCGTGGCGAGATCAACGGTATCATGTCTGGCACAAAGGTTGGAGTTCAGGAACTGACATTCGGCTTCTACGATGCATTCACCGGTGTCGTGACACAACCCGTCCGCGGCTACAAAAAACACAGCAGTGAAGGCGTTGGACAAGCAACATGGGGCGCAACCAAAGGAGTTGGCAAGGGCCTCGTAGGCCTAGTCAGCAAATCCTCTGCCGCAGCCCTCGGAGTCCCAGGCTACGGCTTCAAAGGCCTCGAAAAATCTATCCGCACAGGCTGGAAAACACGCGACATGCCTAATCAAAACAGCTTAGCCCTGCTCCACGCCCTCCAAGGCCGAGCATCCGACGAAGAAAAGATGAGTGATGCCGTTTTGGCCATCGTCTCACAAGCCCAAGGCAACGGTGTGCGTCACCAAATCCGTGGCAGAAGAGGTTGGCAGTGTTTCCTCGAGCTTCAAAATCTTCGTCAAAATCCTGACAAGGCTGCTGCCAAGGAAGAAGCGGTCTTGCAGGCTTGGGAGAATCTTAAGGTCCCTAAGGAGTTTACGCGTGTTGAGCAGTGATTTTCATGATCGATAACTAATTTGTACGAGTTTGATGACAAGTCTTTTAATATTACCTAGATAGTTAATGAGTAATGGAATATGCACTTAAGAATTCTTTTCATTCTAGTTCTTCAATTGTTTTCCACGGAGTGAAGCGTAGTGCAGTGACTGCTTTGACTGTCATGGTGATGATCTTGAGAATCTAAGCTCTTTGTAAATCGTAACCACTGCAAAAGCTCTTGACCCGAACGTGGACAACCATCAGATCCTTTTTCAACAACGCCAGAGATCGTCTAGAAACTATCTTACGAACATTACAGGTGGCTTATCGTCTTGAAGCAGCACAGAAAAGAAGACACTAAAGATTGAGCCAGGGTCATCCAAGCAACGAGCTTCGGCATACATCCAAACAAGCCGGCTGCGTTAACAATGATTCATCTACGAACACGACACAATCATATCACATCTTCGATCCACTCAGGAGATATGAGAATGTCCTGGTGATTTAAATTCATATCTGTAACTTCATCTGAATCAGAGTGTAAGCATTGCATGTCCATGATCCATCTGTACCGGCGACTTCTGTAACAAGCCGGGGTCCGGTATACGTGTTGGCCAACTTGCATATTGAGAATGTTGGCTTTTGTTCAAAAGCCATGACTGAGATTTCGTCATTGCTTCTTGAGTGCTGAGGGATCTACAACGTGATCAAGATTCGAAAGGAGAAGGTATGAATCCTGGTTGAACTCGAATTGGAAGTGTTCTTGACCATCGTGCTTGCCATTTTGATAACAGGTTGCCATTGAAAGCAGAAAGAACAGAAAATTCATAGAACAGATTCACAAGAGAAACCACGAATGAGTGCATCCGTCTACTTGATACTATCTTCCCTACATCTCATCTTTCTGGCTTTTCTGACACCATCATTCTCCACTTCATATCGCTAGCTGACCACCTCTAACCACCTCCCCGACAGCATCCACCAACTCCCACAAAACCTCTTCAACAAAAGCAACCTCCCCCTCGGCACCAACCACACCCACATAAGTCTCTCCACTCTTAACAAAACTCACAACCTTAAACGGTTTTGGACTATCACCATGCGGCTTCACCAAAGCAACAGCACAGATACCACCCGCAAATGGCAAAGTGTCCACATCATCTTCATCATCTTGATGATGAACTAGACTGTCAAATCCAGAGGTGGTATCCCAACCAACTGCAGCGGCGATACGTGAGTAGCCTAAAAAGTCGTGGGCGCTGGATGCAGCCACTTGGGCAGCGATATTGCGGAGAAGTATGGAAGTGTCTTGGGAAGAAGAGAGGCTAATGCGGATGGGAGTGAATTGGTAGCAGGGACCATTGATGCTGTCTGCATTTGCTAGACTGGATATGTTGCGGCCGGAGGTTACGGCGCCAAAGACGACGTCGTGAGTTTGGAGGCGGCGAGCTAGGACGAGAGACCATGCTGCTGTGAGAATGTTGGCGGTCGTTACGTCTGAAGGCTTGTTTGTCATGTCTACTGAGGCAGACTTGAATATGCCCTTGTCGTTCTCTTCAGTGGAAGTGCCCAGGGATGACAGCGAAGAGCCAGAGAGCAAGTCCTTCCAGTATGTCAGAGCTTTCTCCTGCATAGATGGATCTAATGTAGCCGACATGTGTGTAGCGAATGGCTCGCTCGAGATCTTGCCACCAGTGTACAACGTCTCGAGATCGGCGAGCAGTGCTGGCAATGATACACCGTCATACTGAGCATGCGAAAGGCGGAGAACAAGACCTTCTTGCCCATCGCTGCTCTTGACATGCAATATTTTTGTAAGAGCATTGCCCAGCGCAAACTCTTCTTCAATATCTGCAGTGCAGATATCCGTGATCTGTTGTTTCAGATCGCCCTCAACTTGCTTGGTGACAACCACATCATCCAAATTTTCCAGGATGACTTGATAGAAAGTCGCATCGTGCTCAATGAAGACCATACGAAGGATATCATGCGTCTTGACGAGCTGCCTGCAAGCATCAAGCAACTTCCCACTATCAATATCCTTCTCAAAAATCATGGTGGTATATTGAATGGACGTTCGTGGTGGCGAAACAGTTTGCTTGATATCGAGTGCTTGTGTATCAGTCACAGGAAGCACATCGCGTAAAACCCAGTCTTGGTTCGCAAGCTTAGGTCTGACAATCTCAGACAAAAAGCTCTCAACGTTCGATATACCCAGCGTAGAGAAAGATTTGTACGACTTCATCTGGTCCCTAGCTCTCGATATGGCATCCAACTTCATCACATTAGCGGCATCACCAAGACGCATGTGCTGAAAAATATCAGCCACAGACAGAGCATGTCCTTGAGCACGAAGATTGGACACTAGTTTCATTGCCAGTACGGAGTCACCTCCGAGACGGAAGAAGTTGTCGTCAACGTCAATCTTGTCTGCGCTGATGCGGAGGATCTTGGCCCAAGCTGTTCTCAGGATATTCTCTGATAGTGTCAGCTTGGTATGAGCTACACTTGTCGACCAAGCTTGTTTGAGTCCTTCGCGGAGTTGATCGAGAACATCAGAGGCAATGCTCGAAGCCAGGCTGTTCAGTGCATCGCGATCGATCTGACCTGCATTGTTGGTAGGCAAGTTGTCTACCACGATGTATGCAGATGGTGCGACGTAAGAAGGCAATGAGTCATGGATATACTTGTCAAGCTTCTTCAATGCAGTGGCAAGCTCGATAGGGATCCTGGCACGGATTGTTGCTTCCGAGCCATAAATCTTGTGATCTTCAGACAGGACATTGACACTGTCTTCGAGAGATGGTCGTTGATCGACAAAGACCACAATCTCTTGGCTATCTTCCAATGTCGATTGTAAGACTGTGGCAGCACCACGGGTAGCAGGCGGCAAGTATCTAGCAACATGCGCTTCGAGATCGGCAAAATCGACTGTGTGGCCTTGAATAGGCAAGAAGTTGTCCTTGCGGGCAGCGAAGACCAAGCTACCGCCAGCACGCAGCTCAACCAAATCACCTGTGGCTTGCACTTTGCCAGTGCGGCCAGGATAGGAAGAGCTTCCAGCCAGGAGCCAAGTTGGCGACTCAAGTGTCTCACCAGGGAGAAAATTGCCTTCAAGCCAGAGCTCACCCACGGACCCAATGGGCACCAACATGGACGAATTACGAGGATCGCATACCCAAGCCACGGTTGCAGAAGGATAAACAGAGCCTTGCTTCGTATCTACGTTCGCGCCCAGACGTTTTGTTGCATCGTCATAAGACAAGGGCGCATTTTGGTTCCATTGCCAAATCTGGTCTAACTCTGTCTCCGGTAGGCAGCTGACCTCACTCACAGGTCTCGAAAGCTCTTTAGTCAATTGTCTACAAGCGACTTCAAGCTGTGCAAGAATACGCTCCATCTGAGAGACTTCGATTAGACTGCTGTCGAAATTGGCACAGACTCTGAAGCCACCCTTTCGGATACCACATCCAACCATGAGAGGATAGGGGTTGAAATGGAGTGCTTCGCGAACTACATCTCCAAGCTGGAAACCAAGGTCATTGCCCACGTACTCAGGCTCGGGCTGGATGACGAGACCAGTTGGTGCCTCTGACGCATGCTGAGCGTCATGGCTGACCTTCCTGATGTTCTGCCATCCCATGTGTTGATAGGGTGTTCTAGCCAGGATGCTTTGTTGGACGGATTGCAAGAAGGATTCAAGAGTGCTGTTTCTGTTGACTCGAATACGAATAGGTACTGTAGCAATCAGTGGGCCAACAATACTTTCGACTCCATTAAGTGCAACATCACGACCAGTCAGTGTTTCCCCGAACAAGACATCATCACTGCCAGAGTACTGCGAAGCCACGAGTGCCCACGCACCGCGGATGAGTGTTGCCAGTGTGAATGGGAAGCCAGCGCCGGTTTCGAGTGGTATCATACGCTCAACCATAGCATCAGGAGTGGGCACAAAGTCCCTAGATGGCATGCGGGGAAATTGGGGCCCCACAGCGCCCTTCAACTCCTGTCTCCAAAACTCTTGCATGGCATTTTCATCCGTCTCGCGAACATACTCGACGAAGTCTCTCATGCGAGCTGGGATCTCGATCGGCTTGTTTTGGAGAGTATCGCTGACTTGCTTGAGGATGAGAGGCTCTGACCATCCATCATACAGCAGATGATGGATACTCCAAACCATATAGCGTTTGCCATTTTCTGCTGCATCAACGATGGCATAACGGGCTAAGCTTTGGCCAAGGTCCATTCTCTCGTTTTTATCGTTCTCGAGGTATTGGTTCAAGTCATTGGCATATCTCCAGGATATATTCTCGTTCAGCACAATTTGCTGAAGTCCAGGTTCTTCGAGCTGTGCAGCACGAGTACGAAGGATTGGATTGGAAGCGACGACTTTCTCCCAAGCCCTCTTCAAAGCGTCGACACTCATATCTTGAGGTATAGATGCCACTCTTTGAGCGAGATATAGTTCTTTCGACTTGAGTGAGAACGTGAAAAGTGACTCCTGTGTTGGGGTACAGGGATAGATGTCCTCAATCTGTGAAGCGTCAGCTCCACAAGCTTGTGCTGCTTCTAGACGAGCATCATCGACCGAGCGCGCGATGGTGGAGAACGGCAAGATCTCCCTGTGGGTATGAACATCACCGGTCTTGATGACACTGGCCATCGCAGATAGATTTGGGTTGCTAAATGTGTCAATGACAGACAAGATAAGTCCTTGCGATCTGCAGGTCGATACAAGTCTCATCGCTGCCAAAGAGTCGCCGCCAAGGGCAAAGAAATTATCTTTGAGACTAATGCCCGCAGCCTCTACATTCAGTACCTGACTCCAGGCCTGCTGTAGGCGTTCTTCCAGGTCGTTGAGCTCACGGCAAGCCTCAGTCGAGTCCTGACTGAGATCTTTCAATTCTACCGTAGCGCCGAAAGCTTTCAGTTGTTTGCGATCAGTCTTCCCAGATATCAGGACTGGGACATGATTGACAGGAATATATGAAGTGGGTACCATATAGCGAGGCAGAACTTCCTTCACCTCTGCATCAGCCTTCGAGAGTGCTTCACGTAGCTCATCCGAAAGCTTGATCGAGCTAATCTCTGTTTGGCCGTGCCCCTTCGAGGCGATAGGTGCGACAAAGGCGACCAACGTAGCTTGACCTCCCGTGCCTTGTGGTACAATGACCTCAGAAATCACTGTAGTGCCAGATGGCAGTCTAGCCACGAGCTGGCTTTCAATCTCGCCCAACTCGACACGTTGGCCACGAAGCTTGACCTGAGTATCTTTTCGTCCAGCAAAAATGATACCACCAGAACCGTCAGGATCATGCTTTCCGAGGTCTCCAGTCTTATACAGTTTACCGCGGCGACCAGCATACTTGCCGTGACCTTTGACAAGCCAGGAAGGGGAATTAATGAACACATTTGCCGTCTTCTCAGGATCGTTCAGGTAACCTTGTCCAACGATGGGGCCTTCGACAAGCAATTCGCCAACGGCACCGGCAGGCATAAGTTGCTCATGGTCATCAGGGTTCACAATCCACATGCAAGCTCCGTTGCCAGTGCCGATAGATATGTAATCTCTGCCTGTTGCAGTGTCGCTGTTGATCGTGCATCCAATGGTACACTCGCAAGGTCCATAGCCAATAACAATCCTGGTGTCTTGACCCCAAAAGTTGACATCTCTGGCAGAAGCTGCTTCTCCTCCAAGACCCAAAACATCGAGTGATTTGATGACATCTGGATCCAAGATTCGAGCCATAGATGGCGTGATGCCTGCGTAGTTGATCTTCATATTCCGAATCACGCCATTAATATCGTTCAAGCGATCTTCGTCTGAAGGAATGCAAAGACAGCCGCCGTTGCTCACCGTCAGAAACATACTGTCAATACTGACATCGAAAGCATATGACGCGAAGTCGAGGACTCTAGAAGTCTCGGTGTAGCCAACTGCTATCGCTCGAGGAATGGCGCTGCTGGTGTATGTCTTGTGAGAGATTGTGACACCCTTTGGCGTACCAGTGCTTCCAGATGTGAAGATGATATACATAAGAGTGTCAGGGTCAACTGGCGGTAGAGTCTTCAAGCTTCCAGGAACTGCTCGTTTGCAAGTATCTTCTTCGACGATAAGATGTGGTGCGCTCGGCAAGATAGATTTGGCAAAATCATGTTGTGTACGTGAAGAAACAATGATTTTCGCACCAATCTGCACAGCCATGTTTTGGAGTCGAGCAAGCGGAAGTGACGGATCCATCATTGCAAAGGTCGCTCCTGCTTTCATGGTTGCTAGTACAGCAACAATCGCCCATCGTGACTTTTCAAAGCACAACGGTACGATGTCATGTGGTTGCACACCCTCGGCGACCAGAGAATGTGCCATAGAGGTCGAATATTGGTCGATCTGTCCAAATGTCAAAGTGCCATCCCAGGAGTCAACTGCGACCTTTTCGGGGAACTGCTGAGCTCGCTCTGACACCATTTCGTGCATGCAGAAATCGTAAGTTGGTGGCAATACATTATTGTATCGCCAGATCTCGTCCAGATCGCTCGATGTTGGTCGTATCGAGTCTTCGATTGTAATTCCAGGTTTCGAGATGCAAAGTTGTAGGGTGTCTTGCAGTGATCTGATGTATCTGGTCACCTCGTTATCCAACATGTCCTTGCTGCGGAATGCTGGCTGGATGTCAATGTTGCCATCGAGCAAGCGTACGCTAAGATGGAGAGTTCCCTTTGCCCATCATGTCAGCTGATAAGAATGTGTGTAATCCCAGATATCATGAACACACCATTGGTTGGTCCTTAGGCTGCTGTTGCTGCTGTAGTCGACCAGTACTCAGGAGCAGCGAGGCAGGCTCCGTACTCTTCTCATGCAGATTTGCTGCGGAGATCTGGCTCGCAATAGTTCTGATAACACTGTCGACCGAGTCTTGCAATCCTTTCATGATCTCCTCCATTGAGATATGCCTGCATGGTTTCTCCGATGCATCTGAGAAGCTTTGATATGTCCAACCAAAAGTTACACGTTCGCCTTCGCGAGTCCTCAGGAGCACAATCAACCATGATGCTAGCAAGATGTCCTCCCTCATGCCACTTGGAGTAGTGCTTGATTGGAAAGCAAGTCTGTCCATATTGTAAGGAAATACACAGGCCCCAGATGTACTGTTCAGGGCTTCATCACTTGTAGAACTCCATTCAGTGATATGTTTGTAGCCCATCTCTACGGTTCATTGGGCTTGAAGACCTGGGTGGGTATTGGTGGACGTGTTGACTATCGGCAGACACCAGACTCAAGCATACAACCGAGCAACCACAAGGCGTCCTCATACGAGCCATGCTCGCCCAGAGGATTCATTATGGAAGTTACCGCTCTGAACTTTGGGTCGTGATGGCCTAAAGCGACATCGGCTGCTCAGGTACGCGTGCGGTAGATCCGCTACGATGGCACGACATCTGATAAGATGAAGAGTTTTCATGGCGCACGTTCGTGGATCCAACACGAACAACGGTGAGGGCTACGTGAGACGCTAGAGAAACTTGATGCATCTGATTAGATAATTTGTGTACACCGATGTCGTTGATATCCACTTGGTTGTCAAAACCCTGAAGGAGGAGGTTGGTGGAGGTGAAGTGGGGTTGCAGCACAGACGGCAGTTGCATCTGATTAGATTTTAGCGAGCTCAAAAGCTTGGACCAGCAGCGAAATCGATCCTCCTGTGCTTGGCTGCAGTATTGCTCGGATCTGATTACATTGCATGTGTCAGACCACGACTAGCACTTGGTCTATGCCTCCAGTTTTTTGATAGTAGGGATGGCCGTATTGCAAGGGTCTTCAACAGGACGAAGATCTGCAGGGCGCCCCACCGCACGTCCTGTTCTGCACGAGCGAGAAGTGGCTTGATGCATCACACTGCCATTCTTCTTCAAACGACTTTACGCCACCGGCGCTGCGCTACAATTTCGTATCGTCTCGCAGATTGTAGTATGGCCAAACAACACTCTTCACTGACTGGCCAGCATGGCGTTTCCGTCGGCTAGTCCAAGCTTCCTGTGCCGAGGGAGGCCATCAGGGTGCCCGAAATATACTTGATGCTCAAGGTAGGCCTTGACTTACTACTGTCAACAGATCAACATCGCTTTGCAGGGATACATATCACAATGGCTCAAGGATCTGCATCACCACACCACTACCCTCTGGTCAAGCTGCCTCATCCGTTCCTCACCTCATACCGAGTCGATGTTGTCTCGTCCAATTTTCCTGCCAGACGAGTATTGCACCTAGAGGAGCAGCCTCTCAAGGGAAAGGCGCCAGCTGAAGTATTGCATTCAGACTCATTGACATGGCTGGATCTGCACACGACAGCCAAAGAGTCACATCCTCCACTCAACGATAACAGTGATTGGGCTCGTGCTGTTCGCGGTCCGCAAACCACCTTCAAATGGTCTGACAGTACTGTTCCTTCCCTTGGCCAGGTGTGGAGCGTTGTCCATGCGATCTACCTCGCCTATCCCAACAGTGAGCACTTCCGTTTGACACTGCAAGGTGCAGGCAAACAAACCCTACGCGACGAGCTGCTGGCCACTGGTCTTGCAATTGAACATCCCAGAGCATGGCATCTGCCAATTGAGTCCATCCCTCGCAGTGATGAGCTCCTCATTCTACGTAGCTCTTTCTGGCAAGGTGCTGCATCGCCCGCTGGTCCTCGCCCTATCTGGATCCTAGGTGATGGCATCGACTCACACCTTCGCACATCTCTCTCGAATTACCCCTTGATGCCGGAAAACCACCACTTTACTATGAAATTTCCTAACGAGCGCATCTACGCCCGGCACCCCGTGCGTCGTCCTAAACCCGCACCTCAAAGCATCTGCTACTCACGCTACATCCCCGAAGTCGATCAACACTTCTCTCTCGAAGTTGTCGACTGGACAAACGCCGAACACCTCAATCTCTTCCACACGTGGCAGAATGACCCTCGTGTTGCAAAAGGATGGAATGAAACGGGAGACCTCGAGCATCATCGCAACTACCTCAGAAACCTGCACTATGACCCTCATGTCTTGTGCTTGTTTGGTCGCTTCGACGATACAAGATTCAGCTACTATGAGTTGTATTGGGCAAAGGAAGATCACTACGGCGCCCACTTTGATGCTGGGAACTACGACCGTGGCCGCCATTCCCTCGTCGGCGACTCATCTTTCCGCGGTGCCAAGCGAGTAAATGCTTGGTACAGCAGTTGCATCCACTATTGTTTTCTGGATGATCCTCGCACTGCCAATGTGGTTGGCGAGCCCAAAGCTTCGGGAAGCATCATCCTGAGCTATGAGCAGAGTCAAGGTCTAGCTATTGGCAAGTTCGTGGATCTGGGACATAAGAGGAGTGTGCATAGTATTGCGAGCAGGGAGAAGTGGTTCCAACTGTGTCCAGTGTTTTGGGACGGGAGGGAGAGACCTTTGGAGAGTGCTGATCGGGCTGCTTGGGCTGCCAAGTTGTAAATTTGGGGAGGAGTGTCAAAAGTGTTTAGTCTATGACTGAATGTATGGAATTGCGACCCTGTCCCTCTTTGACTCGTCACACTGAACAGCATCCGGAAGTCCCGGCCATGGCAGCTCTGTAAGATAGCTGGTGGTCGCAATGCGAGACGCATGCCCTAGGTCACCAGTGTATATGGCCAAGAGTTTCTGCAAGGCCATGCCAGATTCGAACTTATTTCGCGAGGTATGATCGTAGTGACTGACACGATTTTCTGACAAAGTTGAACGAGGTGCAGCCAGGTGCATAGACGGTGCATTTAGGGTTATCAATCTGATAATCGACCCGCCCTCACACAGCAAGCACGGCCCATGCTTGGCGAGAATGCCCTTGTCCGAGCTCTCGCTCCTTCCTTCCACTTGCCAAGCTCCCTTCACGGACTTGTCTCGCCTTCCACAAGCTTCCCATGGCTTGTCGTACGACCTTGGTTGTTCCTACCTTGCTGTTCGGCAGATCAAGCGTCTGTGTCCCTGCCGCTGATCGATTCTGTTGGATCAACCATGCGATGATCATCCGCTACGCCCGAACTACATTCTCGTTGCGAGCATGCCGAGGCAGAACAGCGATGTTCGTTCGTGTCGGACGCGAGCACTTGCTCATACGAGAAGACGCCGTTGCTTTAGCTTTTTCAATTCATCAATTTGTAAGACGTTAGGCTGTAGCTTGCGAACTTGCCAGAATTTTAGCCGGTGTCGGGATGGTGCCTCAGTGATGGAAACATGGCGGGAGGTGCATTGGCACATCTTTTATCAGATCCTCTCTGAGTGATGAAGATATTGGTGTAAGACAACAATCACAATGCAAACGATCAACAGCATCTACGAGGTGAACACACCCAAGATCCAACCATCGCTATTCCACGGACCTGCAGATCCTCCATTGGTGACAGTCACATTGGGAGAGTTTCTCGATATTCAATGCGAACGATATGGAGAGCGTGAAGCACTTGTGTTTCCCTGGACCGGAACACGATGGACATATAACGACTTGAAAGAAGAGAGTTCAAAGCTCGCCAGATATCTCTACTCAAGAGGCATTCGTCCAGGAGATAGGATAGCCATTCTTGCTGGCAACAGAGTTGAATATGCTTCGGTCTTCTTCGCGTGTATGCGTATTGGCGCTGTGCTGGTCATCTTGAACAATACATACACAACACCTGAGGCAGAGTATGCTCTTAAATATACAGGTGAGTAGTAGTCATCTGCCATAATCAAGATCATCTCACTAACAAAACGATAGACTGCAAGATCCTCTTCGCGACACCGACCATTGGCAAACACATTGACAATGCGGCCATGCTTAGGCAGTTCTCGAATAGCTCAGAAAAGTTGCCAGCACTGCAGCAGATTATCATTCTGGCAGACAAGCTCGACAATTTACTGAACTATCAAAACGCCATCAAGATCGGATCACGACTGCCCAATGAACCAGTCAAGCAAATACAAGATAGTCTCTCACCCTATGAGACTTGCAACCTTCAATTCACAAGTGGCTCGACTGGTCATCCCAAAGCAGCCATGCTTACACACCATGGTCTGCTCAACAACTCCCGCTTCATCGGTGATCGTATGAGTTTGACAGAAGAGGATGTACTATGTTGTCCACCGCCCATGTTCCACTGCTTCGGTCTGGTACTAGGCATGTTGGCTTGCTTGACACATGGTGCAAAGATTATTTACCCCTCGGAGATCTTTGATGGACCGGCTGTATTGCAGGCTGTCACTGAGGAGAAATGTACCGCCATCCACGGGGTGCCAGCCATGTTTGACACGTTGTTCAGTCTACCACGACCCGCTGGTTTCAACTGCGATAGACTCAGAACAGGAATCATTGCAGGTGCTCCCGTACCACGTCACTTGATGGAACTGCTAGTCAACGAGTTCGGTATGACAGAGTTCACAAGCAGCTATGGTCTCACCGAGGCTTCGCCGACTTGTTTCAATGCCTTTGTCGATGACTCTATTGATCGTCGTCTCACCACAGTTGGCACCCTCATGCCACACGCCCACGCCAAAATCGTCGACAAGAACAATAGAATCGTCCCCGTCGGCACACGCGGCGAACTCTGCATCGCGGGCTACCAACTCCAACAAGGCTACTTCCGCAATCCTGCCAAGACGGCCGAGGCCATGGAACGCGATGCCGATGGCGTGCTGTGGCTACACACAGGCGATGAAGCAGTCTTTGACCGCCATGGCTATTGCTCCATCACCGGCCGCTTCAAGGACATCATCATCCGCGGCGGCGAAAACATCTACCCGCTCGAGATCGAAGAACGTCTGATCAAACATGAGGCAGTCGAGCGTGCCATTGTCGTCGGCTTACCACATTCTAAGTACGGCGAAGTGGTTGCTGCATTCTTGCAGCGTGTTGCTGGCACGACCAAGCCCAGCGATGAAGATGTGCGTGAGTGGACTAGACAGACTCTGGGTAGACATAAAGCTCCTGCTCATGTCTTCTGGCTTGGTGAAAATGGTGTCACGGATCAGATTCCTATCACTGGCAGTGGCAAGATCAAGAAGTTTGAGATGCGGAAGATTGGAGAGGAGCTGTTAGCTTCAATGCCTAAAGCCAAGCTTTGAGCGTGGGAAGTAGGTCGTGTGTGTTTTGTTATAATCAGATGTTGATAGTTGTGGTCGTGAATCAAAAGTACTTATAATGGCTTTCTTCTGACTAGACCTGTGCTACTGATTCCGATTGTGGTCTTTATCAATGCACAAGTCTTGCTCATATCATAGAAGCATCAAAGATTCAAGAGGCATGTAACAAAAAGGTGTTCACATTGCTCATGGAAACAGAAGAAGTAACGCTATGAACGCATACAGCAAGACAAACAACTTTTTCTTTACTTTCCCTAGACGCTCCAAAATTGCAAAAACACCTCAGTCGTCCATCTATCTTCTACAACATGGCGACCTCCGCTCTATCCTCTACAGTGCTCGTCACGCTATCAAGTACGGATTTCAACAACCTCGCTCCTCTCTCAACCGCATATCCCATCCCTTCATCTCTACTCCCCTGCTCCAAACTACCAACCACCCAAACACCTGTATCTTTCGCTACCGCATTTCTGCGGAAGCAGACTCTATACTCTGCATCCACAGTCGGCTTCTTGTTTTGCAAAACACCCGCAGCTTCAATGTCTTGCAGCAGAGATGTCGAGTGGACGTATCCTCCTGCAGAGATAATAACGTCAAAAGCACCGACACTGGTGCTAGAGGCGTTTGTACGTGTGTTTCTGAGGCCGAGGCGGAGTTTGTTGTTGTAAGGGATGAGGGAAGTTACTTCTGTCAAGGGGACGATGTTGAAGCGCCAGTCGCTAGGGTTGGGAGTCAGGACGCGTTGGGCGTACATATTTTCGTAGATCGTTTCGATGGTTTGGATGGAGATTCTTGGGTGGTTGGGGATGGTAGAGGCAGAGATTAGGCGAGGACGCAATTCGGGTGGGTAGTGGCTTGTTGTTGCGCCAGGAAGGCAGTTATCGATAATATCTTGTGTGCTGGGACTCTGTTAGAGACGGCCTGGTAGGCAGAGGAGATATAGGACCAGCTTACAAGGAAGTGTTGTCCTCTGGTCGCAATGCAGAGTCTGAGATAAACATAGTTGCCCTCACACGATGCAAAGCTCCTGCACTCTGCAAATGCTCGAGAAGTTCAGCTGCTTCTTGGTCTTCTCCCACAATGGCTATGTCCTGATCTTTGAGATTGTGCAACAAAGGTGCAACTTCAGAAGTATGCAACACTTTATCCTTAGCACCCAACAATGCATCAGGGATACTCGGTTGCGACCCAGTAGCCAGAACAACACGCTTGGAAGAAACAACGCTGGTGTTTTCTTGAGCATCACAAACATGGATTTTCCAACCATTGATCAGAGTTGAGCCATTCTTGACAGGAACAACTCTAGTAACAGTACTCGAGTATCTTACCCAGCCCCTCTCCAACATTCTTTCCGCAACCCAAGATAGATAGTTTCCCATAACCAATCTCGACGGCGCAATATGCGAAGAATTGACAAACTGCACCAACTGCTTGCTCTCAAACAGATAATTCACAAATGTGAATTCGCTGCGAGGGTTGTGTGTGGTGATCAAGTCTCGCAAGAAGGATGTGCGTGTTGTGTTTTCTGGCAGTACTGATGCTGGTGTCCAGGAGAAATTGGCTTTGGCCTCGAGAAATAGGACTTTGAGGCCTGTTTCTGAGTCTGCGAGGGCGGTTGCGAGGGAAAGTGCACTGGTGCCGAAACCTACGACGACGAGGTCGTAGGTCTGAGTAGATGCGGATGCATTGATAGGTGCAGCTTGAGGCGTGGTTTCTTGGACTTGTAAAGACATGGTTGCGATTGATGTACGCCCTTGCAAACACCTTGATAGAGATAAACAGAAGATCGATAAGATAAAGTAAAGAACGTATGCAAGGAAAAGCACGCAAGGTGAAGATCAGAGATGATCCGAAAGATTGATACAAAGATGAAAGATTGTTCTACCTACAGTCAGACTTGCTACTCGGTAGATCATGCAAATCGTACGGCTTTGCCCTTCCTTGCACGACGCACATCTCTCTACCTCCGTTCATCGGCCACACCAGGAAAATGGCACGATTGACACTGCACAGAAACAAGATGTTGAGCAATGCTCGTGCAGAGCAGCCCTGGTACCATCCACGTTACATCTGATAAGAAAAAAATCTGATTAGCCTTTGACACCAGAGGCCGACCCACCAGTACCGGTGCCATGCAGGGTTCATCTCGAGCCAAGACGCCCAGGACTTGTGACGGCAGTCTCGAGTAAAGCCACGTTTTCGTGTCACATGAGGGAAGGAACAAGGCGTCCAAGCGAGAGCAACGACATCGGGAAGGTGTGAACAAGTTGCAGGAAGTTGGGAGGCTGGGCAGCGGTGAGAACAGCCTCGAGGTCAAAGCTCGCGGCAGGTGCCCCACATAGATGATTGATTATCGGTACTCCATCTGATTAGATTTTCTGTGCCAAGTAACCGATAGTCGTGTGATACTTTTACACTCGTACCCGCTTGCCCTATATCCTCCATGACAAAGTGGAGAAAATTTGCGAGGACAGGATTTCCGAGTGTGTCCGAGGTTGGAAAGTTTGATCTGATTAGATTGATCTGAAAAGTTGGAAGACAGAGTCAGGACAGAACCGTGCCATGTGTCAATGATCTGCATTCTAGTCTCATCGCACCGTCTCGCACTGAGAAGAGGGTATCCTTTGTTCAGTGTTGAGATTGATTTGAGCGCGGATTGACGAAACTTCGGTGCGAGGCGTCTTGTCGAGATTGTGGTGATTGATTAGATAATGGGAGGCATCGAATCGCCGCAGAGATGTAGAGCACTGTGATGGTAGCTGCAGATCTCAGAAGACTGGTTGACATGTCAAGAAGATGTACGGAACACTTTATAAAGGCTAGCTAGTAAGATATGAACGTTCGTTGTTAGACTCTTGTTAATCCGTCATCCCATCTATGCACCTGTGTACTTATTCAGATACCCCAACACCTTCTCGACCAAAAACTTCCTTGCCGGGCCTTGATCATCATTACTCAAAGCATGCGATGCATTAGGCACAACAGCACTGTGTTCAGCATCCCAGATCTCCTTGCCACCACCAGCATTAGCTGCCTTGGCCCATCTCTTCATCAGACCTGCTTTGTCCACCCACTCGGGCACAGCTTGATCGGCGCCAGAGTAGAAAGCAGCCATCTTGTTCTTCAACAATCCTCGCTTTTGGATCATACCGAATGACTTTGCCAATTGCTCGTCGCTGAGGTCTGAACTGAAGACGTCGTCCTCGGAGGGATTGTGCGGGCTTTCTGGGCTCACGAGACTCAGGAAGCGGCGTGCGGAGAGTGGTGTGTTGGCAGGATAGCCGATCTGGTATGTCAAGTGGATTGGCAGCAGTGCGTCGAAAGTTTGGTCTTCTTTGCTGGCGGACTCTTGTGCCATCTTCACTAGTTGCTCATAGTATGCCTGACATTGATCCGGAGTATTGCCACGGAAGCCATGTTGACAGACCAGCTTGATGCATTCTCTGTCACTGATAGGTGCTTGCATGATGGCACCATCAAGTGCCAGTCGTTGGAGATGCTTGAGATCTGAATCGAAAGGAGGATTTGTGGTATGAGGGTTGGATCTTGACAGGTAGTGTAGTACCATCTGACTGCCAGTCGAGTGTCCCATCAACACAATTTTGCCATTGTCGCCGAACTTGGATGTCTTGTAGTCTTTGATGTATCGTATCGCTTGCGCCAGCTCGTCCGTGTCTCTATCGAGGTGTCCGAGTCCCCATGATTGATATGAAGATGTGAGGGTGAGGGAAAAGAGCGACCACTCTGTTTGCGATAATGCATGCACCAGGTCGGCCGTATATGATGTTGTTCCTAGACCATCACCGAGACCTCCGACGAAAAGAATGCTGTCAGGCTTGCGGGCTGCATTGGCTGTGTATTCGAATGCAGTCAGAGTTTCTGTCTACAGCTCATACATCAGTTGCTGCCATCGAAGCATGAAGTCTCGAAGACGTACAAAGTGGTGTAGAATACCCTGCATACCACCCTTGGGCCAGAATTGAGAGTACTTGCTCATCATAGTGTATCGTGGGGAACAGAATTGGTACTCTCAAAGATCACGATATTCAGATCTCGTGCTGCTGAAATCAATAGTATGAATGCGTGCAATGGATACAGTGAACGAGACAGAGTCAAGACACGAGCCAAGCACGACTCCTCGTGTCAAACACGACTTACGGCAAAACACTCATCACATTGTCCGACTACAGAATACCCGACGATATCGGGCTCTAGCTCGACGCTCTGCAACATAGCGGCAATAGGAGTTGCTGTCACGAACACAAAGCAGTTTGGCCGGGACCCACAAGCGGCGGGTCTGATAACCCTTGACCGCTAGCCAACAGAAAATCTGATAAAACCGATCAGGGCTGGCTCGCGACGCTTGGCAGGGCGCGTCGGATCAGATAGCTCCTTAGCGCGATCCTTCAAAGCTTCGTGGCGTCCCGCCTTCGCTAACACTCGGATCAGATAATTTTGTTTTTACTGACCCATGCACCTTGCTGCGAGGTGTCTGCAGCCGATGAAATGTCCACTAGCAACGCCACGTATCTGTGACGCTTTGCTGTGTCTGTTCAGTGCCGGTCGTCCGATCCCTAATCGCTTTCGAGGAGGCAAGCAAGTTGCTGTAAGGACCACCCTCGACACAATATATATAGTACTTGATAATATTGTTATGCACTTTTATGTTTAGTGGAAGATGTGGCAGAAACCGGCAGGCTGTAAATCGCAATACTTTAAATGCTAGAGATAACTTTTGCGTGGTAGTTAACAACAAGATATAATCGTACAGAATCGTTCGTCCTCTTCGTGATATGTGACAACTTTAGATGACTGCAGTGAGCAGCAAGACTTCTAGAACAACACCCCTTTAGTCTGAGTCTTTGTGAGCTTGACGTCCTTGATGATGAACATCCAAACAAGAGAGGTTGCCATGATGCAAGTACCAGCAATCAACATTCTGCTCTGAGCGACTGCGTAAGCCTTGATGATGGCATCACGAACTGGATCACCCATGGCGTAGCTGAGCTGGGTGTCAAGATCCTCGTAAATGGTTTCCCAATCAGCCAGTGCATCAGCAGGCAGATACTTCTGCAATGCACTAGGCAAAGTGTGTTGCCAAACGGCACCAGAGATACTACCGCCAATACCACCACCAATGTTACCAAAGACGTTGAGGAAAGCAAGAGCTGCAGCAGCATTGTTGTGGTCAGATGCCGAGAGAACGGCGACTTGTTGGCAGATAATCATGGTACCACCAGCAAAAGCGATGAAGATCTGGCACATGATCGTGTAACCGACAGAGAAATCAGGCTTGCGGAAATAGATCATCAATCCAATACCGAGGATGTAAAGAGGTACAGCAATCCAGAGCAGCCAACGGAAGCGACGAGTGCCCTTGATGGCGAAGCCAACGCAGAAGAGCCATACACCTGATACAACGTCGAAAATACTGCCAATGTAACCAGCGGTAGAAATACTAGTTCCGAACACGACCTGAAGGTAGGAAGTGAAATAGTCGTTCCAACAGTAGTAGGAGATCTGATAAGTGGCATCAATCAAACAAGCCCCTATGACAGTTCTGTTGGTGAGAAGTTCCCAGGGCAGGAAAGGCACGGGAGCTAGGAAGCGCTCTGCCAGAGCAAAAGCAATTAGACAGCAGAAACCGATGACAAGCATGACAATGATGTGGGGAGTTTTCCAATCATCTTCCGCCGAGCCTGCGATGGTGAACGGAAGCAGAAAGAGGGCGAGACCAGCAGTCAAAAGGAAGACACCGAGCACATCAAATTCGATGATGTAGTACCAAACACTTTGCTTGAAGGTTCTGCCACTTGCGGCCTTCGGCTTGAGCAGACCATTCTTCTTAGCCTTGGAGCGGAAGTAGCGTAGTAGGCCGAAGAATGGAAGGACAACGCAGGGAAGAACGATACAGAAAGTTCCGTATCCCCAGCGCCAGTTGGTTGCGTAAAACTGCTCTGCGGCAGCAGGTCCAGCATACGCAGTGATAATGAACGGAGACGAAGTGAGAGCATAAGCCAGACCTCTGCTGCGCAGTGTCGAAGTATCAATGGTAACGACGTCAACGCAGAAGATGAGACCAGCAGATCCAATAGCATAGAAGACCTGAGCCGCACAGTAGGTTCCAATGCCGTTGCAAGTTGCCGACAAAATCAATCCAAGAAGGAAGAACACAAGCATAAGCAGAAGACCGACGGTACGATCCCACAGGTTGAGCACTTTGGCAAGAGGCATGTAGGTCGCGGCTCCCATGATGGAGGAGATGATGGAGATAACGGGCAGCAACGAGTGCGCTTCGAATCCGGAGGTGATATATGGCGAGAGGTTGGAAGTGATGTTTGACTGGAAAGCGTTGACGCAGTAGATAGACCACATCCTGAGCGTCGTGTCAATTCGGGATCATAGTAATCTCGTGCCTCGAGTGCTTACAGTGCATAAGTTGCGATCATGGAGCTCTTCGTCCACGATAGTGTAATGGCCTCGGCCTGTGTGACACCAGCTTGTGCATCCTCGTTGGGAACTTCTTCGCTGATCTGGTCGGCTGTCACCTCATTCTGTGCATGCTTGGATTCTCCACGAGGAGCATATCTTTCTGGATCCTGAAGATGCATCTCTGCAGCGCCGAGTTCTGAAGTAGAAGCAGAGCTAGAGCTGCCCTCTTGAGGGTCGACGGTAGACGCGAAGAACTTTCTCCTCAATGCTGAAGGCATCTTGGTGTTCTCTGAATGGAAGACAAAGTATGAATCTGGATCACTGCTTCGGAAAACAGGGCTCTTGTAATAACGACAAAGCACTTTTCTTTTTATCTGGAAGGAATCCAGCTACAAAGAAAAAATGGCACCATATGGCAGGCTCGGGGTCTTGTTGAGGTTTAACGGTACTGATGTTCCTAGCGCGGCAGGCCAAGGATCAGGGCGGATCAGATTAGTATGGATCGATTCTGCCGGGCGCTGCAAAAGCGCAACCAGTGCCGCAGACCAGTCATACGATTTTGATAGATTTGGGTGCGCTCGTAAGAAGCTGAATCAGAGCCCTAAGCTTCACCTTCCATCGCGCCTGCAAGAGCACACCCGATCCGCTACGAGACACCTCCGGCACATCTTTTGATCTGATAAGATTCGACCAAGGATCAATAGCTAGGGCTCGTACCCGCCAGAGATGGTTGGCACTGATCCTTTCAACGTAATATCGCCGTGTCTGGAAGATTGGGCGAGAATGAGACGAGGCTTTTTTAGGCGTTGCGTTGGCATTTGATGCAGTCGCTCCGGCGTCGGGCCCCACGCGCGAGCGCCGATGGTCCAAGCGCCCGCCGCACCACCTTGACTTCATCAAAAGATCATCAAGATTATCTTATCTAGCGCCTTAGCAATGCGCGAACGATGTCGCATGAGCCCGTCAACCTCCGATGTTCGTCCCTGTGATTGGAAACGAGCGCTTTCGTAATAGCTTGCTGCGTCTGTCCAGCCATTGCCATCGGCTAACTTGTATGATTTTATGACTGTGGGCGGGCTCAGTCAAGGGCTTCAAGGTGCAAAATGGACTCAGACCCACCGGCCTTTTGGCGGTGGCCACAATTCACCCTTTGGCATGTGCATCCCTCGTTTTCTGCTAGCATCTTTTTATCAGATCAATCATTCTGAGGTCCAGGCAAACTTGTTTGCTATTGACGGACCCCGCGGACCAAGCCCCATCTCGAGTACTCTATTACGACGGCATCGAGTTGTCCCTCGTGGATATAATTGATGGTCGAGATTGTTTATTGGTCACAGGACATAACGATATCTGCCATATCTGAGCAGCTAGTGGGTTCAAGATGGCAGGCTTCATTCAAAAGATCGGAGGCTATCCTCGTCTCCTGCTTGCAGGCGATCCAACACCCCGAGACATAGGCACGCTGTTACTCGGTATCGTCAGTTCGATAGCAGCCGGAGTACCATTTCCCATTATTGGTATCCTATTTGGTCAACTTCTGGATGACTTCAATGCAGCCACTTGCGACCAAGCTACAGATTCTGGAGATGGCGACCAAGGAAGCATCAACAACACTATCTTGATCATCTTCTACCTTGCCATTGCTCAATTTGTCTGCATTTATGTCCACTTAACTTGCTGGACTCTGAATGGTGCTCGTTTGGCACAAAGGCTGCGCGAGAGTTATCTTCAAAATTTGCTTAGGCAGGAACCTTCGTTCTTCGACAACCTTCCACCAGGAGAAGTCGCATCAAGACTTCATGGAGACATTCAGACGATCCGCTCAGGTACTGCGGAGAAGGTTGGAATTTGTCTTTCGAGTTTGTCCTTCTTCGTCACAGCATATATTGTCGCTTTCATCAAAGATTGGAGACTGGCCGCTGAATTGCTCTCTCTGATTCCAGCTTACTTCATCATGTCCATTGTTGGAAGCCATTATATCGAGAAGTACTCCGGTATGGTTTCCGAGTATGCTGCATCTGCTGCATCGATAGCTTCTGAAGCACTGAACAACATTATGGTGGTTCAAGCTTTCGGTGCCAACGCTCGTTTGGAGAAGAAGTTTTCGGACGCCCTCAGAGCTTCTGAACATGAGGGTATCAAGAAAGCTACTGCTGTTGGCATTCAGAGTGGTGTTCTTTATTTTGTCGCCTACTCTGCCAATGGTCTGGCCTTCTGGCAAGGAAGCAAGCGCATTGCAGATTCGGTAGAAGGGAAGTCTGGAGGTACCACTGTTGGTGCCACATTCACTGTCATCTTCATCTTGATTGAAGCTACACTGCTTCTCAGTCAAGTGGCTCCCTTCGTTCATCTGTTCTCAGCAGCTGTTGGATCATTCAACAAGCTTCGCGAAGATATTGATCGCGCGCCATTGATCGACGGACACACCAGATCTGGCCTTGCACTCCCGCAAACAGGAGCTGGATTTGAGTTCACGGACGTGTCATTCACATACCCATCAAGACCTGAGATCACTGTTCTTGACAAGATCAGCCTCTCCATTCCTGCTAACAAGCACACCGCACTTGTTGGTCTCTCTGGCAGTGGCAAGTCTACCATCGCGGGTCTGGTCAGCAGACTCTATGATCCAACTGACGGTCGAATCACATTCAACGGGCAAGATGTTCGCACGCTCAATGCTCGAGACTTGAGAAGCTTCATGAGCTTGGTCCAGCAAGAGCCTTCGCTTCTTGATCGTTCGCTGTTGGAGAACATTGCACACGGTCTGATCAACTCTAGCGACCCTGAACATGCCCGGTTCAGAGGCATCCTCCTTGGCTCTGATCTTGCAGAGGTCGCTACTGATGTTCGAGATGGTACCGATCTCATGGTTGCTGCAGAGAAACGTGGTCCTGTTGTTGTCGAGATCGCTACCTTGGTCAAGAGTGCCGCAACACTCGCAGATGCAGATCAGTTCATCGTTGCGCTTCAGCAAGGATATGGCACAGTTGTTGGCTCAAGCGGACGCCTTATCAGTGGTGGCCAGAAGCAGCGTGTCGCTCTTGCCAGAGCACTTGTGAAGAATCCCGCTGTTCTCATTCTTGATGAGGCAACTGCTTCTCTCGACTCGAGAAGTGAGCAGCGCATCCAACGTGCCATCAACAGTATTACCAGTGGAAGAACTGTCATTACCATTGCCCATCGTTTGGCCACTATCACTGCCGCAGACAACATTGTTTGCATGCACAAGGGACACATCCTCGAACAAGGCACACACTCAGAGTTGATGGCGAATAGTGGAACTTATGCCGATATGGTTAAGATGCAGACTCTTAGAAACACGTCCGAAGCCAAAAATGCGAGTGCTGATAACATCAGTCTGTCAGACCGTACCTCGACTGGTGATATCGAGAAGAAGAGCTTGTACGACGACACAGTCGAAGCTGAGAAAGCAGAACTCTCGGCGACAGAGACACCTGTCAGAGATTCTACAGAAGTGGAAGAGCCCGAAGAGCTTCCAGCGCCTCCAAAATCTCTCTGGGATCTGGCCAAGGGATATGGACCGGCATTGCGGCCACACATCCTCTATATCTTTGTGGCCTTCATCGGCTCTGTCTGTGTTGGTGGTGCTTTCTCTGGTGAAGCCGTCATCTTTGGCAACACAGTTGGTAGTCTCAACCCTTGTCACAGTGCTAGCAGAATCCGCAACCGCGGTGACTTCTTTGGTCTTATGTTTTTTATCCTCGCCATCATCGAGTTCTTTGCCAATCTTGTCAGTTGGTGTGGGTTTGGCTGGGTGTCAGAGAAGGTCGTGTATACTGTTAGAGTATTGTCGTTCAGATCGTTATTTGAGCAAGATCTCCAATGGCACCAGTCTGAGAGTCGTACGCCGGCTTTGCTTCTCTCATACATCACTAGAGACGGAAATGCTCTGGCTGGCTTCAGTGGCTCGGTCGTCGGAACGCTATTCTCCATCACTGTCAACCTGATTGCCGCCATCATTTTGACTCACATCATTGCTTGGAGGATTGCTTTAGTCTGCTTGGCTCTTGTGCCGCTTCTTCTTGGAGCTGGTCTCATGGAGCTTCACATCCTCGGCAAATTCGAAGAGAAGCATGAGACTGCATACACCAAGTCTGTGGACATTGGTGTCGAAGCTATTACTTCAATCAAGACTATTGCTTCTTTCTCACTCGAAGAAGAGATTCTGCGAACATACAGACGCTCTCTCAAGGGGCCGCGCAAGGATACTCTCAGAGTGACCCTACAGGCCAGTCTTTGTCAAGCCTTGACATATTTCTTAGGCAACTGCGTCAATGCTCTTGCCTACTGGTGGGGCTCAAAGCAAATCCTCAACGGCAACTACACGCAGACACAATTCTTGATTGTCGTCTTCTCTCTCCTCGTTGGTGCATTGTTGTGGTCGCAGATGTTCGCATTGGCTCCAGAAATATCCGCTGCTCGCAACGCCATGGCAAGAATTTTGAGCTTGATTCAGATCGGCAAGGATAAAATGGCAGTTCATGTACGTCCTCTTGACATATCACTGGAAGAGAACAATATTGAAGCCTTGGCTGAGACAAAGACTTCGCACGTGTCGAACAACAAGGCATCCAGTGTTCAGATGAAAGATGTTCACTTCTCATACCCAGCACGTCCTGATGTCAAAGTGATGAACGGCTTGAACATCGACATCAAGCCTGGACAATTCGCAGCACTTGTCGGTCCTAGCGGTGCTGGAAAGTCAACGGTCATTTCTCTGGTTGAGCGTCTCTACGTTCCCCAATCTGGTTCAGTGCTCATTGACGGTCTTGATGTGACTAAGACTCGCGACACATCGTTCCGTGATAGCATCGCTCTGGTGCCCCAAGAAAGTGTGCTGTTTGAGGGAAGTGTCGAGTTCAATATCGGCCTTGGTGCTCGTCCTGGCCATACTGTCAGTAAAGAAGAGATCATCGAAGCGTGCAAGTTGGCAAATATACACGATGTCATTGCTGCTTTGCCAGATGGTTATGATACTCTTTGCGGGCCCAACGGCAGCCAGTTCTCAGGTGGCCAGAAGCAACGCTTGTCCATCGCTCGTGCTTTGGTCAGAAATCCAAAGTTGTTGATTCTGGATGAGAGCACTAGTGCCCTTGATGCTGAAAGTGAGAGATTATTGCAAGAAGGCTTGGACAAGACAAAGGCAAAGGGCATCACAGTGATTGCCATTGCTCATCGCCTTCACACTATCAAGAAGGCTAATGTCATTTTCTTGATTGAGGCTGGAAGGTGTGTTGATAGTGGTACGCACGAACAGTTGTTGGAGAGAAGTTTGGATTATCGCGAGTCGGTGATGCACCAGACGGTTGCTACAGATTGAGTAGACTTAGGTCGGGAAAAAAATGTGTGAAGCAAAAAATCGGTATGACATTCATTGCCTTTCTACTCATGTGCTCCGCGTTCCAGGATCATCCAGATCAATCGAGAGCTGTTTATTCTTCGCTCCTTCTTGTTTCGCATCTTTGTGTCCTTTGTCGCATCTTGTTGAGCTCCTCGCTATTTCCATCGCTTCTCCTGCTCATTCCTGCTCTTTGTCGTATCCTTCTTCCTTCTCGTTCTGCTTACTCTTCTTCTTGGTTGAAGTCCTCTTTGCGCGTGCGGGTTCTCACATTCGGTAAGGCTGCTTTCTGTACTCTGTCGCACGAATGCAAAGCCAAAGCAGTAACGAGCATCACGCATATTAACCGCGTTGTGAAGCGACAGTCACCAAACGCTTGCTGAGTTCAAGCTTGGCCGCAGCGTGGATGTTGTCGAGCTCGGCCGCCTCCAGCTTGATTTTCGCGACCTCAGCCACGTAGAGCGCCTCTTGTACCTCTCGTTGAGCATCCTGTAACTTGCTTTTGGCATCATCGAAATTGTGTTGGGTAATCCTCAGCTCGAGCGCGTCTGCATCATCTCCATTGGCCATGCTTGCGTTGCGCTTCTTTTCCTTCTTCATCTCCGCATCTTCCATCACCTCCTTGTTCTCCGAAATTTGTAAATCATGCATCTGCTGCTCAAGGCTGAGGACTCTGGCCTCCAGAGTCTGGGTGGTTGTGTTGGGCGGACTTGTGGTCATGGTTGAAGTTCTGGCTGGAACGAAAGAGCCGCTGCGTGAGATAGTCTTTGATGTTGCTGTAGGCGATGACATGGATCCAGTAGGCAAAGATGTGCCGAGGTCATCTGTCGTAGGGCCGTTTGAACTTCCAAGCTCGCAGACTTCGACTCTGTGTCCCGTTTGACTAGACGAAGAAGCTGCTGGAGGAAGCGAACTGGGGGGGTCTTCTTCTGTATACTCTTCGATAGGCTCGTGCTCATGGATGGGCAGGCGCATTGGCGACACGCCTCCATCTACATAGGAGAGTGAGTCCAGGCCATCCAACCAGGTTCTCGTGTCTTGAAAGCGGGCAAACATTTGGCTAGCAGACTTGACATCTTCCGCACCACAATCATACATCACTTCCCATTCTCTGTGTGCGTAGATGACTCGAGGATACATCTGGTACATGCGCACCATGAACTCGTCGTAGTAGTCAAAGTCATCTCGCCGACAGGTTCTTTGCTTCTTTCTCAAGTCGTCGAGGATCCCTCTCAGTAGCTTCAACTTTTTGTCACCGGGAGCTTCTTCTTCCGGTGCTAGTTGCACGTATCGTGCGTTGTTGTAGAAATGCTCAGCACAGTATCTTTGCTCCTGCGTAAGGGTCAGCCGGTTTCGTTGTCATGATTATATCTGTTTGTGTACTTACTTCAGCTTCGTACCAGTCCTCTAGACAGTCTGCAAGCATCGCAGTGCAATAAACTCTCTGTCACATTGAGAGTCTCTTTCCGAGCAAGGCGCGTGTAGCGATCTCCGCCTCGGCATACTTCTTGTTGGTCAGTAACTCGGCCGCCTCTTTGATCGGAGCTTGGTTTTCAGAGTCTTTGGTATACCACATGACGGCGGATGGGTCGACGCAAGAATGATGGTAATAATCTGTGTGTGTGCGATCAGAATATGGCAAGAAACCAGAAAGTGTGGCGTCGTGGTGTGAAACCGAAGACGCACGGAAAATTGGTATCATCAGCAACTGAGAACAAAATTCACGACACACTGCGTTTGTTTTGTACCACCACACACACCTTCTCACTCTCCTTGAGCTTTGAGACGTATCCACAATAGCTGTCCTCTACCAAGCCAGTGTTGAATGGCTTTTCGATTGGATAGCCCAGCTGCATTTTGAGAAGAGAACACAATAATCAAAAAAGATACATACCAATGCCAAACCCCCTTTCAATCGATCTATGATTTTTCTCTAGGTTCATCTTCTTTCTCGTCGTGTCAGTGTGCGGTGCTTCCATTTATGATGCTGTCTGAGTATGAGTAGATGATGTCGTATCTCTATGTCCACGTCTAATGTAGTTGCGCTATCGACCAGCCTTGAACTGCTAACTTTGTCATACGCGCAGGTTAACGAACAGTACTGCGCCTTGCTGTGACTTCTTGGATCTATCATCCCAATTCTGCGCCTTCTCCTCCACTACCTCATCCTGCTTCTCCATCTCTGTCTCATCTTCTTCCGTCTCGTGTGCTCAAAGAGTCTTCTCGTACTCTGATCTCAATCCTCATCCTCAGGATCGCTCATGAAGGCCTTGATGATACTGACTGCCTCGTCACAGTCTTCGTCACCTCAGGGCTTGAGGCCATAGCAACGCATGAAGTGACCAGAGTGACCGTAGTGCGCCTTGACATAGTCGAGTTGATCGGTACTGAATTTGTAGTCGGCGACATGGGAAGTGGGATCACGCTCCAAATCAGCGGGAAAGTCGTTGCTTTCGACAGATCGATCATCATCTTCAGAGTCCTCAGGGGCATCGGCCTCAGCTTCAAATTCGGACATCAGAGCTCTGAGAATGCGTCGACCTTCTTCACGGTCGTCTTCCTTGTATATGGAGAGTTCGTACATCAAGAGTAACTTGAACTCGTTGCCGTAATGCTTCTTCAAGAAGTCTTTCTCAACTGTGGTGAGTGGAAGAGCGCAGTCGGATTTGCTTGCTTCCTTAGCCTTGGCCTCTGCGACGAAGTTGTTGTACTTCTTGATCTCCTCTTCCGGCCAAGAGGCATGGAAGTAGTACATCCTTTCCGGATCCAAAACACTCTGGTTTTGCGACTGGCCCTTCAGCCACACTCTCCACAATGTCTTGAAGACAACCAGACCGAGGACTTTGTCTGTACCACTCTTGAGGATGGGCTTGACGTCACAGCTCAATGGAACGACAAGATCTGGCTCCATACACATGGCGAAGATGTTGACGGTGTAGCTGGGAGCATAAAGGACGTTGTGTAGAGTGATCTCACGGCTAGATTTGTTTGCTTTGCCTTGGCGGTGGATTCTTGTGGGCAGTATAACTGTGCCAATACCAAGGACTTCGACAGTTGGCTCAGCACCAAGCATGGTTGAGAGTTTGGTGCGAAATGGAATGTAGGATGTGAACCATGCTCGGTCGTTGGCCACGTGAACATTTGAAGTGTTGGAGAGGATCCAGTCCACATTGTAAGCGGCACCTTGAGGCGGCATGAAGGTCAGTTGTTGGTGGTGAGAAGTGGAGATTGTTAGAGAGGTCGAGGTGGTTGAAGGGATGAAGTTGGATTTCGAAAGAAGGAACAAGCGGCTATTTTCAGCTCTTCCCGCTTCCTGCAATAATATCTTAGCGTGCCTGCTGTCACCACTGGTGCTTTTGAGTTGTTTGTTGCTTGTTTGCTTCTTCCTAATATCCAAACACAACCCGAAGCAAGAAAAAGATCGTAGCGTGAATGAGAACGTCGACACAGCAGCAGCATCACCACGTAACCGCTAATTGCAAGATAATCTGAGAAGTGTGGATAGTGAGTCTATCGGACTGTTCTAAGGCATTGACGACGATGTAGAGCAAATGGTCAACAGATGTATGCAGCCAACGCCTGGAAACCTCGAGATCAGATGCAGGAGACACCAAATGTGGACCTATAATGAACAGCCCCAAGCGGTCATCCATGACGACGGGGACCTGCAAACGGTATGAGAGTGGCAACAAAAGAGTTTGTTTGGAGTCTTCGTTTGTCAATACCAAAATTCCGGAAGTCGTTTGTATCGCACCACGACACAAACACCTCCGTTTGTTTGCTCACCGCTTTTGATTGACGCACACTCTAACGCATCCCTGCGCATGCAGCTATCGACCAAATATCTGACAAAAACTCATCATGGCTGACGCCAAATACTAAGTCACAGGGCAGAAATTGATAATCTCATCGACAACGCTATCAATCTTTTTTGTGACGGGAAGCATATTAAAAGCGAAGTTGTCGTGCATGCAGTACTCGAGCAAAGAGTTTCGAGATGGCAGAAGATTTGCTGCCTTGCTCTTCATATAGACTGTATCGAGGATTAGTACGAAGTTAAGGTAAGTTGAAATGCAAAGAAGTACCCGGGTCGTGTCTACTCAAAACTACAATTCGTGTACATCCTGCCCTGCGCCTACGAAGGCACTAAATGGGCTTTGATTCCTAGTTAAGATAAGACTTTCGGTTTAGTTTTAGTCGAATTCGGCCGCAAGAGAGCGCTTAGTATCGAGGCCGGGCTTAACATGATTACAACATTGCACTCTTGTAACGAAGCTTTTAACTATCATTCTTGATGAGAGACTCGACATACGAAACACCAGTGAGAAGTAAGGTCAGGCCAGTATCGATTAACAAGTTTATTAAGGTCTATCTAGATCTATTTATGATTTCTACATTATTTTCAAACACACTGTGTAGTGTGGGTTATATATTTGACAAAGGAAATGCAAGGAGCAGCAGGCCATCAAGGCTTGAACAACTGTTCGTTGCGGAAAAACATAAGGAAGCCAATAGGCAAGACCATCTGGAACAGCAGAGCGACCCAGAACTCCCAGGCACCGAGGCCGCTCAAACTGATAACCAAGTTGGGGAATACTGCGCCAGGTCCAGTGGCATCAGGTGCCGAGGCACGACCCGCGATGGTAGCGAGAGAACCAAGAACTTGTGCAACGATCAGAGTGACAGCGACGTGGTGGCGTGTAAGTGTTTGCAGAAGCATGGTGCCAATGCCGACGCCATTGAGAGCGTCCAAAACACCAAGCCAGAGCCACAGAACTCTTCCAGCGATCGCGCCACCAACGGCGGTGCCCCAGGGTAGGTAGCTACCCATGCCGGATGTGCTCCAGAGCATCTGACACCAGCGAGGGGCACCGAGACCAGCACCGAAGATGGGCAAGAACCAGGAGTGGTGCTCAGAATAGCGTGAAAGAGTGTAGAGCATAGCGCACCACACAACGATGAAGAAAAACAGAAGGAGAAGAACGATAGCCCAGGTTGGAGCCAGGGTACCGCCGAAGAGGTACTGCCAGTTGCGACCAACCAGTGGAGAGAGCCAGTAGTTCTGAATGATGACGGCGATGAAGAACCAGATGACCAACTTGCGCTTCCACAAACTGGAGTAGAATGACGGAGCTTTGCCTGGCGCATTGTGGTAGTATTCAGGTAGGCCGACAAGAATAATCAAACCAACAAGTACGAGCAGGAGAGCGATCGGCAACATGATGGCCAGAAGAGCCTTGGAGTTCATGATTGTGTTAGTGAATCTGGCAGTGTGGTGGGCACTCATGTTTGTTCCCCAAGCCCACAGTGCAGCCACCCAGAGTTGTTGAATGCCCTGTACGACAGTGGCTCTGTAAATCATGGTTTGAATGGGTACACCACCTTCGCTTGCAAAATTCAAGGCGAAGTAAAGAGAGCCAGATGCGGATGCAAATGAGTAGAATCCACTAGCCACATTTTGAATCCAACCACGGCTGTCAATGGTGCTTCCATATGGAGAGATACCGACAAAGAAGAAAGACAGACCATACAAGATGAAGGGAGCTGACAGCGCGTATTTGGATGCAAAGCGACGGACCATGAACCACCAGAAGAGAGATCCAGCCAAGTAGATAGATGCCAAGACATAAAGCTTATTGGCATTTTCACCCTGGGCTCCAGTGATGATCGTGATTTGATGACTGTTGACAGCGATAATTTGTCCAAACGACAGGAGGTAGGCGTACAATGGCCAGTCAGGGGCGATATAGGGTATCTTTGAGATCATCAACTTCGAGATACCAGTTGGAGCCTTGTAGTTGGCGTTCGTGAAGAATTGTTCTGAGCTGTTCTGCGAGGTGGCTCCATCACTGCGCGCACTGTCACTTGCGCTGTCGCTCTCTGTGGAGGAGCGGACTGTAACAGACACACTGTTTGCTCCAGATTTCTTGCCGCTCACGCTTGGTGCAGAGATGACAGATTTACCAAGCTTGGCCTCGTTGAATCTGCGGTACCAGTTCTTTTCTGCCAAGGCCAAGAAGTTCTCGATGCAAAGTTCACCCTCGGAGTTCTTTGCATTCAGAGATTCAAGCATACCCTCAAAGATATGATAGTAGTCCATTCTGGAATCCGTGAAATCTTGATCAATCTTCTGTAGGTTGTAGTCGTTCTTCTCGCCAACAACTTCGTGAACGCTCAGCGTTGAGGTACGTCTGTAGTGAGCAAGTGTGGGTTTTGTAACCTCACCTGGGAAGGATGTCTCCTCGGCGAATCCAAACCCAGGTGTGAACAAGTTACCTGAGGCAGCTCCGTTGGGGCCCGCAGATGTACCGGGACGGGAAGGTGAGTTTGGGAGTTCACCAAGACTGTCCCTGGACTCGTCTTCCTCTTCAGGTGGACTAGGATTGGTATCCGTGAATGGTGTACGGCGTGATGCAGGGAAGAGAGACGACAGGCGGCGACGGAATGGCATATACTTCTCCAATGAAGGATGAGCGGGGTACAAGAGACTGGACAGTCGGCGCCTCATTTGAGGTGGTGATATTTCTGGCGATGATTCCGGGTCGGGTGAATGCGACCTTGAGGCCGCTGGAGTGGGCGAAGATGGTCTGGAGGATGGTCTGGAAGATGGCCGGGAGGATGATCTGAAGGTTGCCCGAGTAGGAGAAGGTAGCTCCAAAGTTGCCCGAGTAGGCGATGACGGTCTTGAGGTTGCTGGAGATGCCACACGAGACGGGTTACGTGAATTGGGAAGCGAGTTCCAAGGTGTGTTCAAGGCAGATGTCGAGCCGTCCTGAACCTTGTGGTTGAGTTTGATGGCCTTTGTCTGGAGAGCCTCAAGATCTTCTACCCACTGCTGGACCGGGAACCTTTGTACCTTACTTCTTGCGCGCAAGAGAGCTCGAGTCTCATGATCCGAAGCCAATGCGCCGTTGATACACTTCTTGAACTGTGTCAAGAGATGTTTTGTTGTAGAAGATTCGACAGAGAACCACCAGCCAGGCATTTGCCCAAGGCCACCCACTCTGGCTCCGATACCAAGCGCTCCCTTGCGGCCAAATTCGACTGAAACTAATCCGAAAGGCTCATCCCTCGAAGGAATCAAAGCCCATTCAGCGCCTTCATGAACGAAGGGCGGGATGTATACGAATTGTGGTTTCGAGTAGACACGACCCGGATACTTCTTCATAAGGTGGTGGAGCTTCAGGGCAGCGAATTTGCCGTAGAGATCGATGACAGGACCCACACAGATCAACTGTGCTTTGGGATTCTCTTCCAAGACCTTAGGGAAGACATCTGCAATAAGATCAATGCCTTTCTGCATGCTCCATCTTCCAACGAAGACGAACAGCTCAGCGGTAGGGTCGATGTTCAAGTTGGCCCATTTTTGGGCCTCCACTCGTGTTGGCCCGCGAGAAGCCTCGTACTCTTGGTCGATAGTAACGTCTGGGTTCGGAAGACACTTGTCGAAGTGCTCTATATCGGCCGGATCAGGGTTTGGCAACATGCCTACCTTAGGAAGTCCCCAAAAAATTGGATATCTGGCCATCGATCGAGTGCCATACTTCTTGGAGACTCCCACAGCACCGAAACCTTTTTGATGGACACGCAGATAACTTGCTCCTGCATGCAATAGATTAAATGAGTCACCCCATTGAATGTATTTTTTGATCAGATTCTTGTCCAGATTGAACACATCGCTGATCTCTTGCAACTTCTTTGGAGTGCTGATCGACCAGAGGCCCTGGAATTCGGCGTTGTGAAGACTCAAGGCGACAGGGATGACTCTTGGCAGAAGATGAAGCGGTGCAACAGCTCCATGATAATCGTTGATGTGGTAGATGTCAACCTGTGGGTTGCGTCTCAACACTTCGGCGATACAAGAGTTCCAAGCTGAGTAGTAGATGGCGCTGTCCATATCATCCATACGAGCAGGATAGGGGTTCTTCTTTGTCTGTTGTCGGAACAGAGGCGCGTCAAGGAGGACATATGTGATGCGACCAACAACATGAAGTTGACAGTCGATCATATATTGCTTACCCATGATAGTGATCTCGATGGGCTCCACGACTTTATCGATGGGATACACCACGTCTCCGACACAGGGCACAACCCAGATGAGATTGTGGTGAGTCAGATGTTTCGCCATAAGCGACGACATGACTCCGAGACCTCCAATTTTGATTGAGATGTTCCATTCATCGCTAATGTTGTATTCCATTGTGGCGATGAGAATGGTTCTGGTAGGTTCGGTTGTGGCTACGACACCCTGGCTGGCTTCGGCGTTTTCGGCAGCGCTCTTCTCCGAGACTCCCTTTTCCGAGAACTTGTTGAAGAAAGGAATAATATCCGCAACAGTTTTCTTCTTCTGGAATTGATGGAAGGGATAACTGCGCTTTGTAAGGCCAATAGCGTTGAACTTCAGGCGGTAGAACGAGTAGTGGTAGATGGCGACCGCAGCACATGCCAAGATGATTGGGAGAAGAGCCAGCAAGATGTAAAGCGCGATCTGTCTGTGTGTGGAACCAATTGGGGTAAGAGTGTAACGCAGAGAACCGTCGTTCACTGCGAGTCTGTATCCGGTGTGGGGCCAGTGGGGTCCAGTGAAGTTGATCTGGTTGAAGGACAGACTGTCTGGTGGCACCCAATCGAGTACATTATCGCCGTCAACGTCACCATATGCGGCACTCTTGTCAGGTGCACCTTCAGGGTTCATGCCCCAGACGTTGACAATGACGGCTGTTGGGAACTCGGAATAGAGGTCGAAGTTCCAAGTACCTTCCGAATCTTGATGCATCTTGTCGTTGAGACCGCTATCGTAGCCGTATTGATTCCAGTGCCCTTGAACATGGGCATGCGGCCATCGGCGAGGGACATCGGCATCAAGATCAGAGTGTTGAACGTGGTCTGTTGATCCAATTTGTGGGGACCAATATTGAGTGACAACATGGACTCCCTCCCATCGTTGAGCTTTGGTGCCAGACCAAGCTTGCTCTTCGATAGTAATGGGTTCACCAGAGTAGGAGTAATCAGTCCAGTTTGACCAGCTCGATCCATAGTTTGTCGAGTAGCGCCAGAGTGTTGCACCAGGGGCCTTCGGCGTCAGCTGCAGTTGACCCGTAGCGCTGTCACGATGGACAAGTCCAGTGGTGTAGTTGGCACTAGAGAAGACAACTGGGTTATCTTTGCGACCCACACGCAGCATGAACCTATCCTTGGTGTTGGTGAAGGCGGTTCCATCGACACTCGTTGCGTTGACTACTGTGTATGTATGCACACCGTGACCAACATTGACCAGGTTTGCAGACCACTGGAACGCTGACAACACCTCTCCGACGAATTGCTGAGAGTCATCTACTGTGATGTTCTTGCATGACACGCTGGAGGCATCGAAGTATGGTGCAACGCCTGTTTGCGTTGTTGAATTAATGCTGATAGCTTCCAAGATTGAGCTGCAGTTCATTTCTCTGCTGAACAGCAAGGTAATCGGAAGAGACACGGTCTCGTTCAGGTCCACGGCGGTTTCGATTCTGGAATCATGGCGAGGGACAGCACCGGTGATGACTGGAGCAGGTGCGACGAACTTGTCGATCGGCACGAACGCGCGCCATCCCCATGGTTCGAGCTCAATGCTGGGCAGACAGCCATTGTTCTCCTCTGAGCCCTCAATGCCGAGCTTGGCAGTGGATGAGTTCAGTGTGTACTCTTGGTAGGGATAGAACAAGTTCTTGACGGTCGTTCCTTCTGGGAATGGTGCAAGGATAGAATGTGAAGCATTACTGCAATCGTACGAGTACTCGACAGTCTTGTTCTGGTTTGAATAGAGGAGCCAGATGCCCTGGTTGCCCATTCCCTCGCCAGAGAGGTCCTGGATACCAGGCGTACGACCGCGGTACACCGACCAGATACCCAATGGAGTGGGCAGTTGTCCACTGTAGGGGAGATAAACGTCGTAGGTGTCGAAGAAGAGTGTCTGCAAGCTGAACCCATCGTTCAAGGTTGGGTAGACTCTGCGCAACTCAAACATGCGCTTGATCAAGTTTCGCAAAGGGTGAGCGGCATTTCTTTGATCAAGACTGACTGTGTCGTCTTCGCAAGCTGTAAGTGCGTCTCCGAACGGCATATCGAAATAACCGTTGCCAGCAGCGCCAACCTTGTAACAACCGTGGATCTGCCAAGCTCTTGTCGAGGCCATAGGCTGTCTGCCAAAGATATAATCTGCGGCAAGGTTCTCAAGTACCTTGTACTCGACCTCGTCACCCCAGATCAACTCAGGAATACCGGGCATCTCCAAGTAGGTGATGAGAAACGCCAGCACCTGTCTTTGGGTTCCATCAATGAGTGACGGCCATCTGAAGACATCTAGTTATCATACAGTCAGTCAAGCGCTCGGCTGGAAAACTTTTCTTTTCTTTTTCTCCTTTTTTCTTCTTACCTTGATTAGTTGTTCCGAACATATGTTTTGGGTCGAAGACCCCGGTATTCACGTTTACCATATCATCACTGAGAAGATAGGAGTTCCAGTGCTGCACAAAGTCCACGCCTTCGAAGCCAATGGCACCGTCGAGGCCCAAAAATCTGGTGAGAGCACCCTATACCATGAAGCCTGTTAGTAGGTATGACCAGAAATCTAGGCTGTCGAGCCTTGGCAGCCACGAAGCACTGCCAAGACTCACGAAGCTTGAACTCACGTATGTGGGGTAATGGAAGTTTGTGCCATCCAAAGCGTTGTTACCAAACTCACGAATGTAGCCTTCGGTCTGACCAGTAGCGTTCTGTCCTTCGAGCGGGTTGTCGAAGTAAGTATCCGGAGATTTGCCACGGCCAAAGAAGACAGAGGAGAATTTGAGCTCTCCAACGACTTCACCAGTGATGAGGAAGTTCTCCTTTCCATACTGGCGAGCGCAATTACGCTGGTATGTTGCCCACTCAGCTAGAGCATCGACAGGGGTCTGGAGCGCCTTGTCCACTCTGAAGCCATCGATGTCCAGCATGGCGATTTGCATGCAACTGAAGTGCATGACCTTCTCCAAGACGTCATGCTTCCAGAGTCTGAGACGGTCTTGCACACTGGCGAACTTTGAAAGTTGACTTTGGTATGGAGGCACGTAGCCGCTGAAGCCTGTTAGCGTATATCCCACAAAGTCACGTGATTTGGTCAACGTACACTCCCTTCATGTCACCGTATTGATCGAAGTCGGATTTGCGGCATTGGTTGTCGAAAGTCGACATAATACTTTGATTGACAGGGAAACCGTCATCGCCATAGAAGACTGGGTACTGGCAGTCTTCAAGGATGTCGTTGTCAATCTCGAAATCGAGATATCTGCGCTCGCTCTTCCAGAGTACATCATATTCGAGTGGGTTGAACGGAGTGGTCTCGTTCTCCCAGCCTTCGAAGGCAAGTAGATCTCCCATAGTACCGATTGTGTTCTCCATGATTGCGTACATTCCACGACGGTGCAGCTCTTCGATGAGGTCGCGCCATTCTGTGATTGTTCCATGGTGTGCGTCGAGCAATGTGAAGTCGAGAGGTCCGAACCCGTCGGAAGCCCACGGCTGATTAATAAAAGGTGAACCTGAGAAGTAGATGGCCTGTTGATCCGGTCAGATACGAGAGATCTAGAAGAGAAAGGGGCTGAAAATTCCACGTTCTTACCTTAACACCAAGATCCTGGATCCAGTCCAGGTTATCCATCAAGCCTTTAGTATCTCCACCGAATCGGAACTGGTTCGTTGTCCAATCGTTCTCAAAGACGGTCTTATTAGCATCGTTGTTCGTTGGCTGACCATCCACAAAACGATCCAGCGTTAGCATGTAGAAGGGCATTCTCCAGTTGGAAGGTGAAGGGGTCTTTGGGTGCTCTGCCCATTCACCCCAGTACTCGAGGGGACTGCTTGCAGTCTCATTCTGGTTGAGGTTCCATTCGACATAGTCAGCAGACCAGCTAAGTGCGTGTGTTCGAGAGGTGTGGAGTATTAATGAAGAACCAAGAAGTGCAACCAGCTTAGCCATGTTGCCGGCCATGATGAAAGATATTAAAACTAGATGTCAGTGTTAAAATGCGTGTAGAAAAGGGACGGAACACTGGCCGCAAGTGCCACTAGTTACAGGACCAGAGAGGGGTAGGCAACTCTGCTCATATATAGAGTACCTATAGATCCATCTCAACACCTCGATAGAGCTGATAAAGGCTATTGTATGGCATCGAGAGACATTATTGCCAAGGGAGTTGTTGAGTTTCTCTAGCATACTGGTCATCGTGTGTTCGAGAATTGAACATACCTACTTACTCGAGTATCTGTAACTCTAATTTTGTGACAGCACATACAAATGCTTCCCAACCTCCAGAAGAGAGCCAATCAGATGTCCGGATACACCGGCGGACCTGCGGCTCTATTGTGTTTTCAGGTGTGCTCGTACTCATAGCGGTTATGATGCTGGGATCTGCCCGCCACCCTGCTGCTCGTATTCGCTGAGCTTTTTCATATAAGACATCGAACGGTCGCCTGAAAGAGTCGTTGTCACCTGAAAGAGTTGTATGGCATGATTAAGCTTCTGGCGACACCAACACGACTCGAGGCCATGGTCAGGTCTCTCAGGAAGCCCCGAGTCAGCGCTCCAATTAGCACCTGGTCCGGCGTGCGTTGGAACTGAATCCGCCAGTCGTGGGAGCATTCTCGCTTGATAGTGACCAAAACCGTAATGGTTGAATGCGAAGACCTTGACCAGTGTTCCGCACCACGATCTGGTTCTTCACTGATGTTTTTACTGTGACGGAGGTTCACTCCCAGGTACCTGCATGCAGACTTCTTCAACGTCTCACCGGCTCGTAGATCGCGGCTTTCCTTGATTGCTTTTGACTTTCCGGTAATAATGTGTCATTGAGCGCATCGAGCCGCTCAAATAAAGTTATTACAAAGTCATGTTTGAACATCGCAAAGCAACAACGTCTGGAGACAGATTTTGCTAGGCTTGGCGTTTTGTCAAAATCTGTCATGATCGGCAAGCTTTCGAGTCATGAGCAGCACTTTGTTTCTACTACAATGCTCGACTTCTCGACAAACTGTTAATATTCGAAGATGCTGTTGTTCCTGGTGGACGACCGGAAATAATTGTGCTAAGCTCTTTCACGTTATCAAAGCATATCGAGTGCATTGTGTGGGCGCTTTCGAAGTCGTTGACTGAACGGGTGTGAGGCGTCTCGGAAGTCAGTCTCGGATAGACCCTTGGTCAGGTACGAGTATTCCCTACCGACGGGATTTCAACTGCCATCGATGCCAAAAACATACATTATTTCAATTACCTTTGCACCAAGATACCGTTTTTACCCTCAAGGGTACCCTCAAGGGTAGATTGACATATTCTAAGCATGGGTGACATCATGATTGTTTTACTCTGACGGACCAGATCATGCCAGAATCAAAATTGACATGGTAGAACTACGATCTTACTATGGTGACAGTTTAATGGCGGATCTCTACAAGGAGACCGAACATTCAGAAAAATCAGGCATACACAAAGGTTGTTATCTATCGCGGCTGCTGCATCGGTTTCCAGCTTGATCGCGTACACGGGCCAGCCGGAAGGCAGTCCTTCGCACCTTCGCTTAAGCTTACCATCCAAATTGCCCGTTTTTTTCACTGCCGACCTTTTTACTGCAACCGTTATGTCTATACCGTCGCGACCTCGAGGCAATTAGGACCGACTGCCTGACAAGACGTTGTCTTCGGGATTTCAACGCCTTTTGCTCTTCTGCAAAGCAAATTTTGCTGCGCCGCTGTCCAGACCTGAGCCAAGTCCAAGTCCAGTTGCTCCAGGTGCAACCCTCAAGTCTGTCTCCTACGACTACCAGCGTTGCCGTTTTGGTGATCTGCATAGAACACCTATATCAGAGCACCGCTTGAGCTGAGATGCGTCTTCTAGGCTTCGAACAAAAGAAAGCAAACATTGACATGACGTGGGTTCATAACGACTGCATTGCCGATCTATGGCTATCATCAACTGTAGGTGCTTATTATGTATCAACTCACAAGCCAGCTGAATCCATTTCTATACTTCTTCGCCTTTTACACGCTCGCAGAAAGGAGGCTCCGCATTGCACCGCTTGTGATACAGACTGATTCGCTTTAAGAAATGTGGAGCGTCGTGATCCTTATCGCTGGTATCGCAATTGCACGCGCTACATCCAATAGCAACAGCACCGTCAACAATGCTAAGCTTCACACGTGGTGGCATGATTCCGGAGTCATGACTCGATCGGTTCTTCAGCCAGCCTCTGTGCGCCAAAGCGACCTCTATTCTATCCAGGTTACCAATTCTGTGGATCAGACCTATTACGACTCTTTCGTTTATCAGACCATCCCACGCAACGGTCAAGGCAATGTCTTGAAACCCAATGACCCATCCTCAACAACTGATGCCAGCGATGGTATCACTATCGAGGAAGCCATTGGCATGACAATGTCTTGGACTTCATTTCTCTATTCAGCAGATGTTTGGCTAAAGGTCCACCGCCTCGATAACTCCAGCATTCAATCGGATAGCTTCGTTATCAGGCCCACCAACCTCAACTTCACGACTTCGATCTCGGGCGCTGATTTGTTCATCCTGGTGCCTTACGACGGAGAAAGCAAGAAATTTTCGGTTGAGTTTGATGACAACCTCTACGAGTTTCACGACGGTTGCAGCAGTCCTTCATGTTCATATGTCCAGAACACTACTTCAAGTGGGCCATACTATGTTGAGCAATATGACGACTCGATGCCGTTGATGAGTGTGGAGCCTCTCGATTCCCTGTTCATCTTTGCCAGCCCATTCGAAGACGAGTCTCTTGTTCCCGACGAGACATCAGACAACGTTTTGATTGTGGAAGAAGGTCGCATATCTGGGCTGGATACTACTCAAGCCAACACTGTGATTTTCAAGCCAGGAGTCTACTATGCCACTGCCACGGATTACTTGAACCTCAGTTCAACCGTGGATTGGCTATACTTTGCACCAGGAGCCTATGTCAAAGGCGCTGTAGAATACCACTCAAACTCTGCGCTTGTCAAAGCTACAGGACATGGTAAGATACCAGAGACTATCACACCGAATTCCGCTAACAGACGACTAGGTGTACTATCGGGTGAGCAGTATGTTTATCAAGCCGATCCGACAGACGGATTTCAAAATCACAACGTGAACGGTTCGCCTTTACGAATGTGGAAGGGCACAATACCTTGGGGGCAAAAGACGACTTGGTTAATCAATGGACCAACCATGAACAGCCCTCCATTCAACAGCATGGATTGGTACGGCGACCAGGCCTCTCTGTCTGTCCAATGTACCGACTACAAGCAAGTGGGTGGCTTTTTCGGTCAAACGGATGGCATGGAGGCATACCCTGGAAGCGTCTATCAAGACATCTTTTACCACACGTAAACAACGCTCATTATTCCAAACTGTCGAAGCTCGAGCTGACTTTTTAATACCAGTAATGACGACACGATCAAGGTCTATTATTCAGACGTCAGTATCAGCAACGTCCTAGTGCAGAAAGCCACCACCGCACCAGTCATTCAATTCGGCTGGGCTTCTCGTAATCTTAGCAACATCCAAGTCGACAATGTCAACATCATCCACAGTCGTTGGAACAGCAATGGCTCGAACCCAGGTCTGATTGGCTCCAACAATGTGTACGACCCCTCAACCACGTCTACATCTGCAATGAACTCCAGCACTGCCGACACCCACTCCACAGCACAAGACATTACCTTCTCCAACATTCGAGCCGAAGGTATTTCTGGTCCATTGATGCGCATATACGCACTGGAAAATTTCAGCAACATCACTATCTCGAATGTCTGGATAGAAGAGTTCGGATGCTGCACTGGGTACGAAGCAGTGGGCATTCCGGAGAGCTTCATGCCCGCCATGACCGATTCTAGTGGAAATAATGTCACTGTGGATGGCTTTGTCATCAGCAACTTCATGGTTGGCGATGAGAAAGTCACACTGGATACGGCAAGCACAGTCGGTCATCTCTACTGGGATGCAGCCTATGGAGTGACGATAGAATAAGAATGAGGCTCAAGAAGATCCGGCGTCAGTTTAGACATAAAACGTAAAGCTTCTTTGTGCGTTGGCGCTTTTGAGATATTTGCTTTTCGGAAGAAAGTTAGCAGTACGTATAATCATTGTAATCGATTTTTATAGAAATAAGAAGTAACGCTGGAGTAATCGATTTTCCGCAGAAGCAAAATGTTTTGCCGACGGGAAGGTGCAGTCATCAACCCAAGGGCGTCGAAATGCGGGGCGGAAAGCTTAAAAAGGAAATCAATCTGGCTGGGTTAAATCAAGCACTGTTCGACCACCACTTTTTTTCCATCTCTGACTCTTTTTTTTCCAAAACAGATTCTGATCAAGAGAAGAACTGGAATGGGTGTTACTGACCAAAGAACCGAAGATATCGAGCTTTCGACGGTCGCTGGGCGTGCGGACGACAATCATTCTCTGGACCTCGAGGATTCGAACGTTTTCGGTAGAGCCGAGGATGGTGAAGTCTTCTCTCTGCCTCCGGCTGATGGAGGAAAAGATGCATGGCTGTTCCTTGCTAGCTGTGTAGTATTCGAGGCCATATCTTGGGGTAAGTCATTTAGGAAATCTCCTACTATCACGCCGCACGTTCTCCTGAGAACCATTTTCTGACGACAACTGAAGGTTTTCCCTTCAGCTTCGGTGTCTTCCAGTCCTACTACGAGCAAAAATTCACAAACAACGAATCCAGTATCGCCGCAATCGGTACCACAGCAACAGGTCTGATGTACGTATCAGCTCCCTTCTGGTTCATCGTCTTGAAGATGAACCCACGCTTCCGTAGACCTAGTGTCTTTGTCGGATTTGTCGTAATGATAGCATCATTAGTTGGTGCTTCGTTCGCAAAATCCGTTAGCCAGCTTATTGCAACCCAAGGAGTGTTGTACGCTATTGGTGCATCTATGCACTACTACCCTTTATTCATCTATCTGGATGAGTGGTTTGTGCTAAGGCGTAACTTCGCTTTTGGGTGTATATGTGCGGCTTGTGGCGCTGGAGGTGTCATTATCCCATTTGCGCTGGATTGGGTGTTACGGACTTATGGCTTCCGTACTGCCTTAAGGACATGGGCTGTTGTTGCCGTAGTGCTCACCACACCAGCAATCTACTTCATGAAACCACGACTACCTGTACGGCACCACACCAACGTCGGGCCCCAGAGAGTCGAGATCGGCTACCTCAAAAGCAGAACCTTCTGGATCTTGCAAAGTGCCAGTATTATACAAGGACTGGGTTTCTTCTTGCCGAGTGTGTACTTGTCGTCTTTTGCACAAGCAGTCGGCTTTACAGCTGTAGACGGTACATTGGCAATTGCTCTTATCAACGGCGCGCAAATCGTCGGAGCCATGTTCATCGGCTACCTTGGCGATCGCTGCCACGTCACAACTGGAATCTTGGTCTGCAGCATCGGTAGCGTGGTTGCGGTCTTTTTGTTCTGGACTTTCGCAACCATTAAACCAATGTTATTCGTCTTTGCCCTGCTGTATGGTGTCTACGCAGGAGGCTACTCAACCACATGGTCCGGTGTCGCAAAAACAGTGCGTGAGAACGGATATCCTGGTGCTGAGACTGGTATGATCATCTCTTTGTTCAGCTGCGGCAAGGGCATTGGCGCAGTGGTCTCGGGACCTATGAGTGAGGCCATTCTTGCAGCGGACAGTTTCCGTACTAATGCGCCGTATGCATTTGGGACTGGTTATGGTTCGCTGCTTGTTATGACGGGAGTGACTGCTTTCGTTGGTGGGTCTGCATGGTATGCGAAGCAGTTCAAATTGATTCACTAGAATTTGCGTCACTCTGGTAAAGCATCAAAATACTAAATTGCACTTTGGAGTGGAGTTGGAATGAAAAGGCGTCTGGATAAAACGGGAAAAACAACTTTTGTACCTTGATCTATGTCATGACGCTATACAGATAATGAGCAATGAGCAATGAGCTGTATATGAACGCTTTGGTTTTCATGATATGCGTGACACTGCGGATCTCTTTCTAGAGTCCGACTGTGCTATGATGTATGCGAATGCGTGGGCTATTATCCTAGACAACAACACCTTTGATTTGCTTCTTGTTGCCAAGGTTAATATCGCGCCAGATCCAGACAGCGATGAACGTGAGCGAAGTGATGGAGGTAGCTGCAATGCACATATCCCTTTGTGCAATACCAAAAGCAGTGGCAATTGCGTCTCTAGTTGGGGTGCCAGGCTCGTACTTGAGTGCGTTGAGGTAGTTTGAGTAGACTGATGTTGCAATGTCGGCGGGTAGACGTTTGTTCAGCTGTACGGGGTAGACGTTTGTCCAGATACCACCGGCGATGGAGTCGCCAATTGCGCCACCGACCGAGGAGGCCAGGTAAAGAAGAGCGAGAGTTGTTGCGAAATCTGAGTGGGTACCAGCAGCAAGAGCTGCGACTTGATGGCAAGGTACCAGAGTGCCTCCAGCGTACGCGACAAAGATCTGTGCGCATACGACATATCTGGGAGCGACGCCGGGTTGTCTGAAGTAAATCATCAAGCCAGTACCGATCATGTAGAGTGGGACGGAAACAAGTGCGATCCACTTGTAGCGCTTGGTCCATTTGACGAGAAGACTAAGAGTTGTTAGTTTGGTCGTTGTTCATGCAACGAAGAATGCCCTTACCCTGTGATCACACCGAAGAAGCAAGAGCCGACAGTATAAATTTCTCCCATATATGTAGCATCGGTGGTGTCGAGGCCAAGGACCACCTGTTGTTCACTATTAGCACACGTTGCATATACGCCGATTTGACCCTGCTTACCTGATTGAACGTGTAGTAGTAAAGATTCCAGCAGTAGAACGCTGTGTAAAGACTGGCGATACAGAGAACAGCGCCAAAAATGGTACGATCCTTGAGTCTCTCCCATGGTAGGAAAGGCTTGCTAGCACCGAAACGCTCCCACACAGGGAACAGACAGAGAATCACAAAGCCAATAACTAGCATACAGATGATGCTCGCACTCTTCCATTGTCCGGCAACCGAAGTGGCGAGAGAGAATGGTAGCAAGAACAGGACGAACCCTGCGACGAGCAGGAAAACACCAACCACGTCGAATTCAACCCAGTAATGTGCGATTGTTCCGTAAAAGCCAAGAGAGGGTGATTCAGTCTTCTTGTACAAGCCCATGGCTTCGGCCTTGCGTTGGTAGTAAAGGAACACACCGCAAAGAGGAAGGCAGGCCACAGGAGTGACGATGGCAAATGTTCCATAACCCCATCTCCAGCCAGCTCCATTGACGAAGCTCGAGACAGCGTAAGGGGTGGTGAAAGCGGTACAGATGAAAGGCGTCTGAGAGATAGCCAGCATGAGGATTCTGTGCTTCAGTCTGGTAGTGTCGGCGATAAAGACGGTCATGACATAGTACATGCCATCGTAACCAATGTAGTATATGACTGAAGCAGCGGCATACGTTTGGACGTTGTGTGAGGCGGCGAAGATAATTAGACCGATGATGGTGATTACCATCATGACGAAAAAGCCTTCGGCACGTCCCCAAATGTCAATGATCTTTGCGGTTGGCAAGCGCAGCACACCACCGATAATGGAACTCATGACAGAGCTGACCGAAAGCAGCTGCGACGTGCTGAAATCAGCATTGGCGTAGTTGCCCAGATAGCCAGTAATGGTGGACATGAGAGCAATCTCGAAGTAAACGACATAAATCCTGCCGCATGTCAATGGGCTATTATCGCAGCATAGTATAGTTTTGCATACCAGATGTAAGTCAACCATAGTGCTTTCTTGTTCCATGCAAGAGTGACACCCTCAGCTTTTTTGACTCCAGTTTGGTAGTCATCATCGACTTGTTCGCCTTCATATGCGGCGCCAGGTGCAGACGTGGGAGTCTTGTCTGGGCCATAATTTTCCTGATAGTGTGGAGGTTGATCACTCGGACTGCTTGTCGAGGTCAAACCGTTTTCTTCCTTGACGACGTCATCGGGTTCTTCATCAGCTTGTGAGTGGTAGAAAGGGTTAATGTATGGTCTATCTAGCGCTTTCAAGAAACCCATGATGGAGAGAGGACCTAGCGAAGGTCAAACATGGAAGTTTAAAAAAACGTGTGAAGGGAGATGAAAGATTGATAAGATGGGGTGTGCGCAGATTTATCAGATTGGTCTGCCGAGATCGCATGAGTTCAGGGCTTGATGCGAGGATTCTTTTTGTGGGTACCGAACGGGCAAGGCATACAAAATTCCGGCGCGCAGTGGATGAGAAATGATGGTGGGGATCGACCACAATCCAATGGTTCTTTGGTGGGTCAAATAAGTGTTTCGAAATTTTCAGATCGGCGCGCCTTGTTTACAACTCATTCAAGTACGGAAGGCTTCTCTCTGCGCGGTTTCCTCTTTGGCAGGCTCCAGGCATCTCTGAGCAGCAACTACTGAATATGATCACTACACAGTACGGGACATCTTGCATCTCTTCCATGATTCGAGCGGTCTGACATCAATAAGTGGAGTTTCTACTCCGAGGTACGCTCCAAGGTCGGTTGACCGGCTGCGCTAGCGATCTTATCAGATTTATTGCCGCAAGCCACCCAAAAAGAAGCACTGACGCGAAGACGTCGACACAGGCAAGCCTTCTCAAGCAACAACAGGGTGTGCTTGACCGGACACGAATATACAGATTGAAATTTACAATACTACAGAGAGGCACTTTCGAAGCTATGTTCTGAACGAGGAAGGCTCGAATTTCTTTTCGTTCCTGTGTTCCCATTTTGCGAGAAGATGGTCCCAACGCTCTCGTGATGACGCACAGCCATCAACGTCATACAGAAGATGCGGGCTAAGCAGCCTAGATGGTTAAAAACAGAGTGGACGATACATGGAATCGGTAGAATATCGGCTCTATTCCATTCCATTCCACTACTTCTAGCTAAGATTCCATTCCATGTCAATTATCTAGTAGAATAATGCTAATTCTAATATCGTCGTCGCTATTACTATCACCCTATCCTTCTATAGGGTTACCCTACTCCTCTAAAAGGTCGTCCTATCCCTCTATATAATCCTCCTATGTTTCGTTAATAGGTAGATCTACCTTCTTAAAACAAAGGTTCTTTTACTAGTTCTTTAGGCACTCGATATACCTAAGATTAGTAGTAGAGAGTCTTACTTAATCCTATAATAGTATTCTTCTATAACTACTAAATACCCTCTCTAACTTAGTAGACATTAGATTAATTAAGAGAATATTAATAGCTATCTAAGCAAGATTTAGGTAGTTAAGCTACTATATTAGTTTAAGCTACTACTATATAGCGTTATTAACAAGTACTATAGGACTCTTAATAAAGTAGATATATTCCTTAGGTATATTAGCTAAGCTTATATACTATAAAGAAGCCTACTACTTAGCTAGCTTATTTATTTCCTCCTCTTTTAATTATAGTGTTATCCTAATTAGCTTTATCTTATTTTTATACTTTATATTCTATAAAGCACGTATAGTAGTAATAGCTAGTACTCGCTATAATAGAAGCTAATGTTTTATAAGATAGGCTTTATAATACGTCGGATAGAGAAGGAGCATAGTAGCATAGGTAGGGGTGTAATCGTTAATAGCTTACTACTTATTAAGAGTAAAACGGCTAGTCTAGATAGCGGAAGTAAGGACTAGATTAGATAAAGCATAATAGACTAAGTTCTACTTATAATACTAGCGTAAGAAGTCTATTAATATAAGTACCTATTATATATAAGCTAGTATTCTTAGGTATTAGATTTTAGCTATAAATAGGTAGGCATTTAACTAGATCTATAGTTTAAGTAAATATAGACTTACTTAATTAAGGGTAGTATTATTACCTTCGTATAGCTTAGTTACCTCTTATAGTAGTTCTATAAAGTTAACAAGCGCTTTAAGAAACT